TCACAATAGGTTTTGAGGCAAAATAAAGATTAAACACTACCATCTCAATATCTGTGGATGCCTAGACAGTAATTCACGAGGAGCTGAATGAAGAATCCAACGGTCCAAGCTACGCTCCCCGTACAGAAACGCCCGAAACAAGAAGAAGTACCATCCCTGTTCAGCTGGAAGGAAGGAAACTAGAAGTACGAAAGAGGCCGGGCGAGCGGTGGCCAGTACCTACATTAATCCTACGCCTCCGCGGGAGGCGAGGCGGGCGGAATTGCTCAAGGTCCCAGAGTTCCCGAAACCAGCTGACGCCGCCGCACACCGACGCAGGACCCCTCTTTACTCAAATAGAACGCCTTTACCTGGGACACCTCACTGAACTAGAACACCAAAATTAGCTGGGCATCGGCCCGCTAGTCCCCGCTCTCGGATGAGGCCAACAGCGCAGGAGGCCATTGCTTGAGTCTAGGAGCGTGAGGTTGGCTGCTGAGCTAGGCTGATGCCCACGGCACTCTCTAAGTCCAGGCAACTAGAATGAGACTCTGTCTCAAAAAAACAACAAGGTTAGAGACAGAAATGCACAAATAGAGAAAACAAAGCACCAATACCAGGGCAGAAAGAGGGGACGTCATTACAGACATCGGAAGGTTAGTAATGTAATATTAACAACTTGATGTAAAAAAATCTGACTATTTATATAAAACAAATTTCTCGAAAGACATCACCAATGCTGACCAAGAAGAAACAGCCTGAATACTTCCACAGCTTTAAAGAAACTGAACTCAATGAAAGTGTACACTTAGAATATCACTTTACTGTATGTAAATTATTCCTTAATAAAGTTCATTTAAAAGGCTAAAAACACAAGCAAAACTAAACTTTAATATACAGAGTCCAAGAATGCACAATTGGAAGATCAGACTATAAAAAAACATGGGAAATAAACACTACAGCAGTCTGGGTGACGTGTGCTTGGGGACAGAGCGAGGACGCTGCCCATTGCTGGGACGCATGGATGGGGTTCTCCCAACAGAGCTGGTCACCAACTAGCTGCTAGTCACTCACCAGCTGCTAGTCACCAACTAGCTGCCAGTCACCAACTAGTTGCTAGTCACTCACCAGCTGCTAGTCACCAACTAGCTGCTAGTCACTCACCAGCTGCTAGTCACCAACTAGCTGCCAGTCACCAACTAGTTGCTAGTCACTCACCAGCTGCTAGTCACCAACTAGCTTGCAGTCACTCCACCAGCTGCTAGTCACCCAACTGAGCTGCCAGGTCACCAACTAGGTGCGTCTAGTCACTCACCAGCTGCTAGTCACCAACTAGTTGCTAGTCACTCAGCAGCTGCTATTCACCAACTAGCTGCTAGTCACTAACAAGCTGCTAGTCACCAACTAGCTGCCAGTCACCAACTAGCTGCTAGTCACTAACAAGCTGCTAGTCACCAACTAGCTGCCAGTCACCAACTAGCTGCTAGTCACTAACAAGCTGCTAGTCACCAACTAGCTGCCAGTCACCAACTAGCTGGTAGTCACTAACCAGCTGCTAGTCACCAACTAGCTGCCAGTCACCAAGATGTTTGCCTTACAATTCCTTAAACTACGTTTGTTCTGTGTGGTTTTCTGTATCTGCCCATTACTTTAAGATACAAAAGTGTTATTTTTTTAAAGATAAAAGTGTAGACACCATGTTTAAGAACCGAAACTTTTCCCCTTTTTCGTCAAGAAAAGCTAACTCTGGCCGGGCGTGGTGGCTCACGCCTGTAATCCTAGCTCTCTGGGAGGCCGAGGCGGGCGGATTGCTCAAGGTCAGGAGTTCAAAACCAGCCTGAGTAAGAGCGAGACCCCGTCTCTACTATAAATAGAAAGAAATTAATTGTGCAACTGATATGTATATAAAAAATTAGCGCCGGCATGGTGGCGTCCAGCCTGATCCTAGCTACGTCCTGGGAGGCGAGGCGAGTGGATGCTCGAGGCCGCAGGAGGTCTGAGGCTTGCTGGTGAGCTAGGCTGCACACCACGGGCACTTCACCTCTAGCCTGGAGCAACCAAAGCTGGAGACTCTTCTCCGCTTGAAGAATGTCTCAAAAAAAAAAGAAAAGCTAACTGCTGGCCGGCGTGGGTGGCTCATGCATGTAATCCTAGCAGCTCTGAGGCCGAGGCGGGGCGGATTGCTTGAGGTCAGGCAGTTTTGGAAACCAGCGCTGAGCAAGAGTGAGACCCCCATCTCGTACTATTAAAATGGAAGAAATTAATTGGCCACGCTAATAGGTGATTTAGAAGACGAGAGAATGTAGCCGGGCATTGCATCCATGCCGAGTCCGCCCGCTACTCGGAGGCTGAGCAGGAGGATCTCTTCGAGCCAGGAGTTTGAAGGTTGGCTGTGAGCGGAGGCTGACGGCACGGCACGCTCCACTCTTAGCCTGGGCAACAAAGCGAGACTCTGTCTCAAAAAAAAAAAGAAAAGCTAACTCTCCTGACCCCCGACTGCCCGAACATCTCCGGGGAGGCTCCGTGGTGGCACTCTGCCGCTTTCCCTTTAGCCAGAACGTCCCTTCCGTGAAGCAGCACTGCAGCGCCAGCCCAGGGAAGGGGTCAGCAGGAGGACGCCTTGAATAAAGTCTCTCCAAGAAGTTCAAGTTACATGACATGCATATTTAATAAACGTGGTCACACAGCTCAACAACGAACACATGCAAAATATGCATCTCTATATAAAATAACCGGGAAACGTGTAAACACTCACGCTACTTAGAGAGCGGCTTAGAGTGACTCTGCCGAGACAACCACGCGCGCACCCTCCTCCTGCCGCCCGGGGCTGCGCGCCCGGCGCTGCACGGACCGGCTGGCACTGGCGGCGGCTCCCGGTGGCGCAAGCCCAGCCCTGGGACAGCAGCTCTCAAGCCTGGGGCAGGTCCCTGTGACACCGGGACGCCATGCCGGTGACAACGGCACGCCCCTCAAAGGCTACGGGAGGAGGGCCGACTCGGCGGCGCGAGCAGACCCAGAGCTCTCCACTCGGCCGGCGGCGTTCGCCCGGGGCGGCCGCGGGAATGGGTGTTCCTGGGGAAAGGGGCCTCTTACCCTGCTTTGTGCTTCTTCTTCTTCGGAGTGTCCTCCTCCGACGTCCTCCTGCCTCGGCCGCGGGACCCCCTTTTTTCTTTCTGACCCCGACCTTCTGGAAAAAGACCCAAATTACTTTTGTAGGATTCAGGAAGGCCAGACGAGATCAGCCCAGACGTGCCGTTTACCACGATAGCCCTGACACGTTTACTGGCAACAGTCTTCAAAACCCCACAGTGGGCCGGGCGCGGTGGCTCACCCCTGTCATCCCAGCACTCTGGGAGGCCGAGGCGGGTGGATCGCTCAAGGTCAGGAGTTCGAAACCAGCCTGAGCAAGAGCAAGACCCTGTCCCTACTATAAATAGAAAGAAATTAATTGGCCAACTTTTTCTCTATATAGAGAAAAAATTAGCCGGGCATGGTGGTGCATGCCTGTAGTCCCAGCTACTAGAGAGGCTGAGGCAGGAGGATGGCTTGAGCCCAGGAGTTTGAGGTTGCTGTGAGCTAGGCTGACACCACGGCACTCACTGTAGCCTGGACAACAGAGTATGACTCTGTCTCAAAAAAAAAAAAAAAAACCCTACAGCTAACAGGGATAAAACGAGGGGAATTAACAGACTTGCTTTTCAGCCCTCGCCCCCCGGAGCTCTCGAAGTCGCTGCCCTCCATCTTGTCCTTCAGGTCTGCCTCGAAGCGGGCCAGGTCCGCGTCCAGCCTGCGGATGTGCTTGTCCACCTGCCAGAGGAGAAGCAAAGTCGCATTTTAAAACAAAAGCAAATCCCCTCAGAGCCCACAAACGCACTAAGGAGTGCCCTTTGATTGAGTCTTCAACTAACAAAAGCTCTACTGAGACAAGACCCACTATTTTAAAGTTTATGCAAAACTTTCTGCACCAAGTTTTGACATGTCAACAGAATAAACCCTATTGAGGGAAAAAACGTAAGCGAAGGCAACAATGAGAAACAGAGTTGTGAGATGCATGGACTAAGGGGCAGGGACATCTGGTAACGGAACCCTAATTTAAAAATCTGACCGGGCAGAGAGGCACACCCTGCAGTCCCAGCTGAGGCGGGAAGATGACGGAGCCCAGGAGTTTGAGGCCAGCCTGGGCAACATATCAAGACCCCATCTCTAGGCCGGGCGCGGTGGCTCACGCCTGTAATCCTAGCACTCTGGGGCCGAGGCGGGCGGATTGCTCAAGGTCAGGAGTTCAAAACCAGCCTGAGCAAGAGCAAGACCCTGTCTCTACTATAAATAGAAAGAAATTAATTGGCCAACTAATATATATAGGAAAAATTAGCCGGGTGTGGTGGCTCATGCCTGTAGTCCCAGCTACTCGGGAGGCTGAGACAGAAGGATTTGCCTGAGCCCAGGAGTCTGAGGTTGCTGTGAGCTAGGCGACGCCACGGCACTCACTCTAGCGCCTGGGCCAACAAAGCAAGACTCTGTCTCAAAAAAAAAAAAAAAAAAAAAAAGACCCCATCTCTAAAAATACAAAAATTTAAAGACCAGATTGGTTCTTGAAAGAATAACCAAAAAGAAAACAGAAAATTACTCTTTGCTTTAGGAAAGGACCAGCTGGAAGAAATAAGAGACAACAACGTGGTCAAAGCACCAAGCACGAGTTAACTTCAGAAGGGCCCCACAGAGAACACGGCCCACTCTCTGTCCAGCTGACTTGGGACGCCGGCCGACACCTCGAGGCTATGGCCGAGAGCAGCACCCGCACTCTCTGGTCTGAGTGAACGAGTCAACTTCGCTGTGCATGGGGCGAGTGTCACTGTCTTCGTGACAACCGACCGAAGCTAACTGTTCAGATAACAGCCTGCCTGGCCAGCGGCATGGCTGTTTGGGGCATCAATATCCCCCATGTAAGCCCTGGGTTCTCCTCGAGTATCTCAGGATCTCAGGGACATCACAAGGCAACGGCTTTGTGCCCTGACGTGAGCCCCGAGTAAAATCAACTTGGGAGGAAACTGGACCAAAAATCCAGTTTGCCTAAAGCTGACAAAACCAAATATTGGAAAAATATATAAAGACAAATGGTTCTCCCAACCAAAAAAAAAAAAAAAAACCCCACAGGAATGGTCCTAGGTGATGGACATCCCTAACCCTAACCTGTACTTTATCTAGAAGAATCCCACCACCAAAGACAGACTTCCACCTCAGATGCACCCATTTCTTTTTTTTTTTAGTTGGACAATTAATTTCTTTGTATTTTTTTCTTTTTAGTAGAGACGGGGTCTCACTCTTGCTCAGGCTGGTCTCAAACTCCTGACCTTGAGCAATCCTCCCGTCTCGGCCTCCCAGAGTGCTAGGATTACAGGTCTGAGCCACCACGCCCGGCCCCATTTTTTTTTTTTTGAGACAGGGTTTCTGCTCTGTTGCCCAGGCTAGAGTGCAGTGGCGCCATCGTAGCTCACTGCAACCTCCAACTCCTCGGCTCAAGCGATCCTCCTGCCTCAGCCTCCTGCGTAGCTGGGACTATAGGAGCTACCACATCCAGCTAATTTTTTCTATTTTTAGTAGAGATGGGGTCTCGCAGTGGCTCAGGCTGCTCTCGAACTCCTGAGCTCAAGCCATCCTCCTGCCTCACCATCCCAGAGTGCTGGGATCACAGGCTGAGCCACTGCACCCAGCCAATGCACCCATCTCCGAGGAGCTTTTCCCTGCTGCTGCCTGAAAGGCAGGAGTGCCCGCCCATGGGAGGAAACCTGGCCACCGGCCCCCACCCGCCACTGCCGCCGCCTCACCATCTCGTAGGTCTGCATGGCCAGCTGCACCTTGTCGTCGCTGTACTCCTTGCACTTGCTGTAGGCGCTCTGGATCTTCTGCAGGTGCTCCACCCGCTGGTCTGGAGAAAGCGTCTTCACCCTGGAGATATACTCCGCAGCCAGGATGTCGATCTCGGCTTTCTTATCTGACAGAGAAATGGGGGAGAAGCTAGCCCTGCCCGAGACACCAGACTGGCAACGAGTAAAGTCTGACAACATCAAGTTGTGGCAGAGACGCGACTGACACAAACTCAGGCTCTACTGGCGGGAGCACACGTGGGCACGACCATTCTGTGCAGACAGCCCGGTACCGTGTGGACGTACAGACTGCACAGCAGGGCACCTTGCCCAGGGCACACCCAGCTTAGACTGCTGTCCAGCGAGCGGTGGCAGTGCCCTCTTTGACTCTCATGCACCGTCTGAATAAGTAATTCTGTGGTCACCTTACCTAGGACCTGGCCTACTGCTCCTAGTTATACACCCTGAAGATATACACCCTAATCAGAGTACTTAGGCACCAAGATACACATGGGAAAACATTCACAACACCAGAAAACCACCCTAACGTCCAATCCACAGTAAAACTGATGAATAAACTGTCGTCCACTCTCACAACAGAATGCCACCCAGCAACAAAGACCAAGCTACAGCTGCACACAACGATGTGGCTCAGCCCCACAAAAGGTGATACTGTGCAAAAAAGCAAGACATAAAGGAAAACACGCTGTAGGATTCTATTAAAACCAAGGGGAGAAAGACACCACTCTTAACCCCTTGGTTTAGAGAGGTGAGAAAGCTATTGTTAAAGGTGGTGAAGGATCATCGACAACTCAGGGTGGTGGCCCCTTGGTAGGGGAGGGATGTGATGACTCGGAGAGTCACACAGGCTTCCAGGGTTTCTCCATCTGAGTGGCAGAAACAGAGCTTCGCCTGGTAATAGCTGTTAAGCAATCTGTAAACGTTTTATGCTTATTTATCAATGTATGCCATAGTGCACAAATAAAAATAAGTCTCTCCGTTCCCTAGTCAAGATGATGGACCTGAGTAAAAAATTGAGCTACTCCAATCCTGCAAAAGTGTGCCCAACATAATGAACAAAAAATCTCCCACACCAAAACATATCATTGTAAAATTTTAACCCTCAGGGATAAAGAGAATACACCAAAAGCTTCTGAGTAAGAAAAGAAACAGAGCACACGTACAAAGGAAATGGCATACTATTTCTCAACAGCAACATGAAGCTCGGCGACCGGGCGGCTCCCCTTGGACACTGAGGAACCGACTGCCAGCGAGGAACTCTATACCCAGCCAAACTGTCAATCACATATGAGGCTGCAACGAACGAACACATTCCAGACATGCAACGTTACGAGAAATGTATCTTTCTGTGTACCTTTTTTCAGGAAGCTACCAGAGGAAAGGCTCCACCAAAACAAGGGAGCAAATAAAAAAAAGAGGATATTTAAGATCCAGGGTACAGGATCCCTCACTGAAAGGGATAAAGGGAGATCCCAGGACAGTCCCAGGGCAAAAACTGTGCGGCAGGCCTAGACACAATCGGGACATAAGGCTCCATGAACAGCGCACATGGAACTGGCCGGTAACCTGATGGTCAGGCCACAGTGAAAAGCCCGTGGAGGTGGGAGACAGGGAGGGTGGAATATGAAAAACAAAGCCAACAAACAGGCAATTAGTAACTCCAAGAAAAACACGAAGTTATTGAAAAATGTCATATGACTCAGTTTTAAACTACCTGTATGGCTGTATGGGGTAGGAACACCAGCATTGGTCTCAACACCAACCCTAACTGACTGCACACGAGACGGGGGGGGGGGGGGCGGGGTGTGCATGGGCTGGGGCGGGGCGGGCAACTGGAGAAACACATCTTTACTTGCTCTAATACATGAGAATAAGTCAAGTCCGCACGGACAGGAAATAAAATAAGAAATAGCAGGCTGGGAACGGTGGCTCACACCCATAATCCCAGCACTCTGGGAGGCCAAGCCAGGAGAACTGCTTGAGCCCAGAAGTTCAAGACCAGCTTGAGCAACAGAGCAAGACCTGTCTCTACAAATAATTTAAAAATTAGCCAGGCGTAGTGAGTGCCTCTGTGGTCCCAGCTGCTTGGGAGGCTGCAGCAAGAGGAACACTTGAGCCCAGGAGTTCAGGGATACAGTGAGGTATGATCACAACACTGCACTCCAAACATCTCTAGAAAATAAAAAAGAAAAAAGAATTAGCAACAAAAATGTGTTGTTCAGAAATGGGGAGTTTAATACCAAGAGGCCAAAAAGTACCATGTAGGCCGGGCGTGGTGGCTCACGCCTGTAATCCTAGCACTCTGGGAGGCCAAGGCAGGTGGATTGCTCGAGGTCAGGAGTTCGAAAACACCCTGAGCAGGAGTGAGACCCCGTCTCTACTATAAATAGAAAGAAAGTAATTGGCCAACTAATATATAGTAGAGAGAAAAAATTAGCCAGGCATGGTGTGCATGCCTGTAGTACCAGCTACTCGGGAGGCTGAGGCAGGAGGATTGCTTGAGCCCAGGAGTTTGAGGTTGCTGTGAACGAGGCTGCCGCCACGGCACTCACTCTAGCCTGGGCAACAAAGCAAGACTCTGTCTCAAAAAAAAAAAAAAGTACCATGTAACATTTTAACTACTAACACACTTTCAAAATAGAAAAATTTTAAAAGGAAACAAAAAGGCAACAAATATTTTGACTGGAAAGAAGGACAGTGATAAAAATGTGACACGAAGATGTAAAGAATCCAGGAAACGAAATCTGATTTTAAAAGTACCAGCACTCTCTCCACTGCGCGATGCACACGGCCCAGGGCTAGGCCACAGCCCTGCTACACTGGGGCCCCTGGAGGCCTTCCGCACCCTCACAGCCCCCTGCTGCCTCCGCCCCTGGCCTTGGGGAGCTGCCGGACTGGCTGTCAGGGCCCAGTCCTGACCACACTGCAGGGCTGAACCCACCTTCTGTCCTCTGGTCCAGCTCCCGCATCAGCTGGAAGTTCCTCTGAAGTTCACACGGAAGGTTCTCGATACCTAAAGCACAGAGACATACAAGCCGTGCACCTCTCAGTGGCAGGGCAAGAACCGGCCTCCAGAGTTTTACACCTAGTGTGCAGTGACAAGCCCGCCTTGTCATCTGCTTCTGTTTGGGTTTAGGGGGCAGAAGGATTAAGATCTCTTTTTAGGCATAGGACAAAACGGGCTGACACACTTCCAAAGTTAGAAACCAACACCAGTACCAGCAGCCATGAGACTCCTCCTCCCAGGCCACACCCAGCCCCTCCCTCTAGATCCCCCACTTTGGTGAGCAGCATCCCCCACGGCTCAAGCCAAAAACCTGGGGTCCTCCTTGATCTCCCCGACTTTACGCTGAGAGAGTGCACCAGGCAGTGTAGACCACACTGCCCAGGAGAACTTGATGCAAGAATGGAAATGTTCTGTGAGCTGCCCAGCACAGTGGCCACTGGCCACATGGGGCTACTGAGCAGCAGAAATGGGACTAGTGCAACTGAGGGCCTCAATCTTTAGTTTTACTTGAAGTTAAATAGCCCCTGTGGCTGGTGGCAACAATACTGGACAGTCAGCCGCAAGGACCCGGCCACCCACCTCGCCTCTCGCAGACGCCCTGGCAACCCTTTAAAACCCAACTCTAATCTGCTGCCTCAAGTCCCAGCAGCTGCCCCAGCTCACCCAGAGCACAGAGCATCCTCCCTACACAGCCTCTGGGCTGCGCACGCCCCAGAGCAGCCCTGCGCCCTGCCCCCCGCTCTGCTCTGTCCAGCCAGGACTGGGCATCGCCCTGCCCATTCTCAACCTGCTGGGTTCCCTAAGGGTCCTCTACCTTCTGTGAACTTTTTAAAGACCCAAGTGCCGGCCGGGTGTGGTGGCTCACACCTGTAATCAATCCTAGCACTCTGGGAGGTCAAGATGGGCAGATAGCTCAAAGTCAGGAGTTCGAAACCAGCCTGAGCAAGAGCAAGACCCCCCCCATCTCTACTAAAAATAGAAAGAAATTAATTGGCCAACTAAAAATATATAGAAAAAATTAGCCAGGCATGGTGGCACATGCCTGTAGTCCCAGCTACCCGGGAGGCTGAGGCAGGAGGATTGCTAGAGCCCAGGGGTCTGAGGTTGCTGTGACCTAGGCTGACGCCATGGCACTCTAGCCTGGGCAACACAGTGAGACTCTGACTCAAAATAAAGAAATAAAAACCCATGTGCCACACCTGACAGTGAGGTGCAGGGAGATGGGGGTGGTGTCTGCTTTCTTGGCTGCTCAGCCCAATACCTAGACCCAGCAGGTGCTCAGGAGCCTCGCGATGCTGTGCCTTCATGCAGGTGACAGAACTCACTCTAGACACTCCTTGGGAGACCCGCTGGGCAGGCACGTTAAGGACCTCCCGACTTCTGCTCCCCCACCAGGGGACCCCTGACACGCAGGCCCCAAGACACCAGAGCAATCTAGTGCGTCCCCTTCGCGTCATGAGGCTGCGTTGGAGACATTGGGTATCGCCGACTAGGCGCGCGGGCAGTCGCGCTGAGAGCCGGTGCGGCGTGGGCTGTGCCGCGGAGTCTGTGCGGCGGCGGGCGACGGGGCAGGGGCTCGACGCGCGCGGTCACGGCGTTCCTGGAACTGGCGCAGAGCGGCGGCGGGCTGTGGGCTGGCCACGCGGGCAGGCGCTGGGACGGCGTGTTTCGTCTGTGTCACTCTGTGTGCCGACGAGTAAAGAAGGGGAACGGACCCAGCTGCAGGAAGGGCGGGTCACGCAGCGTTCCGTGATGCTGTTGGCGTTTGGTTCCGGACGGGGCGGACGGAGAGCGGCGCGCCCGCGGGATTTCTTGCTGGCGCCACGAGCAGGAGTGCAGTCGTTCTTCACACTGTTAGCGATGCAATTTATCTTCGGGGGCAGAATGAAGAGCACTTCCATCCGCCAGGAATCTGCATATTGAACTCCATGCATGTCTTTTCTTGTCTAATGTTACTTATCTTGGTAGACGTGTTTTGAACTACCGGTAGAAGCTAGCAGGATTTCTAATGGCATAGAGTGATAAACCAGTGAGGTGGCTAGGCGGCATCTGCACACATGGTTGTGGAGCGGGAGAGGCGTTCTCACTGCCCATCTGACAGCTACTATCGCAGAGGTGACCGAAGTGCGGCAGAGGCGGTCAGTCGTTTCTGTTCGTGTGCAAGCTGGGTTGAGGGCAGTCTCTCAGTGAAGTGAGGAGAGAAGCTGTGGTGATTTTACTCGCACTTGTGGAGCTCTTCACTCTCGAAAGGATAGGAGGTTCACAGCTATTCCTACTGAGCAGAGAGAATAATCCCCTGAATAGTCTAGGGTGTCTCTTGGGAAAATAATATGACTCTTTATTTGGAACACGTCAGATTCCTGTCTCTCAAGTGTGACCTTGTCTAATACACTTCTTTAATTCAGTATCGCTCACCCCAACAGGATTTGCTGTGGTTTGTAGTTTTACCCAAGTGTGTTTCAATGTGTGCTTAAAATTCAATGATGAGATTCTGCCTCAATCTATTTGAGTTGTCTGTGTTCTGTGTAAGGAAGGTGAAATCTAAGACCTACATATAAGCTTAGTAATGTTTGCTGTTATCTGGGAATCCGGTGCTGGAATTTTTAGGTGAAGATTTATTTTATTTATTTTATCTTTTATAGCTTTGTTCGGCAGAGTGCAGGGCATCATAGCCGCATATCCTGCAGGGATTCCTGCTCAGTCCAAGTACTGGGATACAGGCAGCAACACATGTAATTTTTTGTTTCATGAGAAGGTTGCTATGTTGGCACTGGTTCTACTTGGAATCGCCCGCCGCCGGTGGCGCCTCCGCCGGCGCGGACCTGGCGCGCGGTGCGGAGTGCACAACGGCCACGTGAGCGGTGGCCGGGCTCACCGGTACCCGCGCTTCCCCTCTTCCCGCGGTCCCGCCCACGCGCCCCCCGTCCCCGCGCCCTCGGCCACCGCGCCACGCACCCCGGCCGGCCGCCGCCCTCCCCGCCGAGCCCGGTGCGCGCGGGCGGCGCTTACTGTCCAGGTAGTGCTCCAAGTACATGGCGGTCGCCATCTTCGCCCGCGCCGCGCTCGGGTGCGCCCAGTGCTCGCGGGGGCGGCGCTCCTGCTCACGCGGCGCGCGACTGGCCGCGGCCGGCGGGGCGGTGGCCACGCCCCCAGCTTCCGGTCGGCGGCGCGCGGGGGCGGGCCGCCGGCTGGGCGCGGGAGCCCCAGCCGAGCGTCTCGGGCCGACACCTGCCCGGCTGTGCCCCGTTGGCTGTAGCTGACCGTGGCCTCGGCTCGGGTCCGGCCGCGTGCCCCGCGCCGTGCGCCCTCGCCCGCCGGCCGCCGTGACCGCCCTCCGCCAAGGCTGCATCCTGGTCTGCCCACGTGCCCGGGTGGCTCCCAGCTCTGAGCACCTGGCTCACTCACTGCTCTCAGCCACCTGGGCAGGCCCGAGCAGCCAGGCTGGAGTGGCCGTGGCATCCCCAGGGCAGCGGTCCCACAAGGGCACTCCACAGCCTCCCTGCCCAAACACGACCCCCACGACCCCCGGGCAGTCCCCACACCACACGTGGGCTCTGCCACTCCACCAGCAGGTGACCTAAGCCGCTCCGGGCCTCATGTCCACACCCGTAAGGAGTGGGAAGGAATCACCCACTCGGTTGTCGGGAGGCCCGGCCGCTGCCACCCGTCACAGGGACGGGGACGCCACGGGCCGGGCCAGGCGGGGAGAGCGGCGCCCAGCAGCCCGCACGCCTGCCCTGGCCAGGTGCGGCCCACCTGCTGGCCCGGCCGGGGGCGGGGCCGAACGGGGCGGGGCCGTGCCCGGAAGCCCCGCCCCGCGCCCGCCGGCCCCGCCCCGTCGTGACGCACCTGGAATTGGCGCGGCGAGGCGGCGGCGGCCCCGCCGCCGGCTCCACCTGCCCTAGGAGCGAGGCGCGCCCCCGGCCAGCTCCGCCCCGCCCCGTGTCCGGAGGCGCCCCGGGCGCTCTGGGCGGGCCGCGGACCCGGCGCGGAAGGAGCGCGGGCCCGCCCCTGCCGCGTGCTCGACCCGGGCCTCCGTGCTCAGCTGCCAGCGCCCGGGACCTGACGGGGCGGCGGCACCGTCGTGCTTGAAACGCGTTTTCCCCTTCGAGAACTCTTCCCCAAACCCCAAATATTGGAAAATAGAGACATTTATTGTTGCCAATTCTACGTTCGTTATAAAAATTCAAACCGTATAGGAACTTACAGCTTGCCACCTCCCCAGGGCCCGGGACTGATTGTCTTGTCCACTTTTGAGTCCAAAGGTTAGCAATTTGGGTGCATCCTTCCTAGCTTTATTCAATGCTTGAGAAGATAGTGAACGCACGTGATTGTACACTACCCACTTTGTTTTAAGTGACCACTTTTTAAAAGAATTAATAGACTAGTTTTTCCATCAGTTCTAAGTTTATCAAAAATTGAACAGAAAGTGCAGAGTTCCCATTTACCCCCCCCACACACACACACACACACTGTCCCCTGGTATAAACGTTTTGCATTAGTATGGTACATTTGTTAACAACTGATGAAAAATATTAACCAAAGTCCATCATTTACATTGGGACTCACTGTGTGGCACCCCATGGGTTTGCACAAATGCATACTGTCAATTATCCCCAATTACACATCATACAGATCCTCCACCTACTCATCCCTTTCTCCCCCTCAAAACTTCTCGGCAACCACTGATCATTGTACTGTCTCAATAGTCTGCTTTTTCCAGAATGCCATATGATGGGAACCATACAGTATGAGTCTTTTCAGAAGGGCTTCTCTCACTAACCAATATGCATTTAAAGTTCATGCATGCCTTTTTGTGGCTTAATAGCTCATTTCTTTTCAATTTGAAAAGTATTCCAATTACGGATATACTATAGTTTATCCAATTACCTATTGGAAGACATCTTGGTTGCTTCCAAATTTTGGCAATTATGAATAGAGCTGCAGTACTCATTTGTGCGCAGGTTTTCACGTGGACGTAGTTTTCAACGCACTTGGGTAAATGCCGAGGAGTGCAATCACTGGATCTACGGCAGGAGTATGTTTAGTTTTGTAAGAAACTGCCAAACTGTCTTTCAAAGTGGCCGCACCATTGTGCGTCCCCCACTAGGGAGTAAACGTTCTCGTCTCTCCCCATGCTTGCCAGCAGGGCCAGAGTTCTGGACTTTGGCCATTCTAATAGGAGTGTAGAGGTAGCTCGCTGCTTTAATTTGCATAATATAAAATAATAATGACATATGACCGTGGGCACTTTTCATGTACATATTTGCTATCTGTGTATCTTTGGTGAGGTGTCTGTTCAGATCTTTTGCCCATTTTTTAATTGGGTTATTCTCATTGTCACACTACCCATTTTTCTACTACTTATGTTTTTAACTTGATAATCTTTGAGAACCTCTGGCCCTTCTTTACTCATTCCGAGACGGTATGGGGGCAGGATTCGGGCCTCACTTCTGACAAAGGGAGGCAACATGGGGCTGCAAGACCCAGAATAATTAACTACAGAAGAGCAAAAGAAACCCAAATGACCTCCTGGCCACTGGAATCCAACCCGTACCCACATAAGGAGGGGCCAAACCGTCTGTCTCTTGAGCAATGTTTTTCCAAGATCACTGCAATAAGATGCTGACACCAGCTGATAAGGAACCTGGCTGCCTGGGACCCCCACGCTGATCTTAACCTGACTTTTCCCTCATTATAATCTCATTTTAATGCTAAAAATCACACCCAGGGGGGGCTATTTAACATGCTACTGAGACATACAACATATGGAGAAGCATGTAATGGAACTATGCAGACTCAAGAAAATCTCCACCGCTACATGCTGACACGGCACCCTTTTCCTTCCTGAGCCTCTTTAAAGCTCTCCCTCAACACTCAAGGAAGCAGCCTGAGGGTTTTTCCTTTGTGCTGCTGCCCTAACTTCGAACAGGAGCCCCAATAAAGTCTTGCCTTTGGCTCCCCTTTGGCCTCTCGTTAATTTCTATTGCATAGAGAGCCCAAGGGCCTGCATTGGTAACATTCAACTTCATCCTGTTGACTAGATATATTTCATTGTGTTCGTGCATCCTACTTTAACAAAGTCCTTACTGATGTACACTATTCAGTTTCCAATTTTTCATTGTCATAAATGATGCTTTGGTGAACCTGCCTATACATATAGCTCCTTGTGTCTGCTCCAGTTGTCTATCACTGCATAAGAGACTACCTGAAAACTTAGTGGTCTAAATGAAACATTTTATTATACTGCACAGTTTGAGTCAGGAATTTCAGCAGGGCTCAGCTGGGTGGTTGTTCTGTGCCATGTGATAGCATAGAGGTCACTGGGATGGTTACAAGAATGCTTTCAGCTGGCGCCGTGGACCAGAACACCTTCCTGTAGCCTCTCCAGCATAACAGTCCCAGGTAGCAGTACGTCTTACCTGGCCACTCAGGGTTCCCAGAGTGAGTTCCAGGAGGCCTGGGTGGAGGCTGCGAGACTCTTGTGACCTCACCTTGGTAGCCCTAAGACATCACCTCACTACATTCTATTGGTCAAACAAGTCACTGGGGCCAACCTAGATTCTGGGGGAGGGGAATTAGACTCCCTACCTAACAATGGGAGAAGGAGCAAAGATTGTGGCTGTGGAGGCCACAGCAACTCCATGTTGGTGCTAACCCACCATGTGGGCTCTAACCCTAGGAAGGCCTCTACTTTATCTTTGCTACGCCGTACCATAACCCTGCCTCAGACAGGTTCACATTCTTGCCTCTTCTGAGGGGTTGACTCCAATTGTCCTGTACAGTCACCCACGTGGTATGCCTCAGGTCTGGGGAACAGTGTGTGGGGTCCAACACACAGTCTCCCAGCCACCTGGGACGTGGCTTCTGCTCATGAGTCTCTGTTGAATGTTTCCCTCTGAGAAACTGGATTTGTCAGCCTCTTTCTTCAGCCTCTGTACCCTCGGCCTTCGGGGATAGATGCGCATCGACCTGCTCCCAGTGGAACAGTGGCTGTCTGTAATCCACCACGTCATCTCATAGCTCTTTAGGACAAATTATTAGAAATAGCACTGCTGGTTGGCCGCACATTTTAAGTGCTGATACTTTTTGTTGTTGTTGTTGTTGAGACAGAGTCTCGCTTTGTTGCCCAGGCTAGAGTGAGTGCCGTGGCGTCAGCCTAGCTCACAGCAACCTCAAACTCCTGGGCTCAAGCAATCCTGCTGCCTGAGCCTCCTGAGTAGCTGGGACTACAGGCATGTGCCACCATGCCCGGCTAATTTTTTCTATATATATTAGTTGGCCAATTAATTTCTTTCTATTTATAGTAGAGACGGCGTCTCGCTCTTGGTCAGGCTGGGTTCGAACTCCTGACCTTGAGCAATCCACCCGTTTCGGCCTCCCAGAGTGCTAGGATTACAGGCGTGAGCCACCGCGCCCGCCCGGCCTAAGTGCTGATACTTTTAAACAAATTGCCCAAGGGGAAGGTTACCAACTGACATGCCCAACGACTATATTTTCTATACATTTGCCAACCCTCAATGTTTTAAATGTATTTTTTCAATTTTATGTGAGGCTAAATACATATTTATTAACATATCTGTTGCCTATCTGTATTTCTTCCACCACTTTCATCTTTATGTCCCTTAGTAATTCTCTGTAAAGAAATTGGTCTTCATGTCTTTCATCTAAAAATAAATTTTTTATTATTGAGGGTATTGGTCCTTCTTATATCATGTATTGAAAATAACTTCCAGCTGGGTGCAGTGGCTCATGCCTATAATCCTAGCATTCTGGGAGGCCAAGGCATCCGGATTGTTTGAGCTCGGGAGTTCAAGACCAGCCTGAGCAAGAGCAAGACCCCATCTCTACTAAAAAAATAGAAAAACATTAGCTGGACAACTAAAAATATATAGAAAAAATTAATTGGGCATGGTGGCACATGCCTGTAGTCCCAGCTACTTGGGAGGCTGAGGAAGGAGGATCACTTGAACCCAGGAGTTTGAGGTTGCTGTGAGCCAGGCTGACACCATGGCACTCTAGCCCAGGCAACAGAATGAGAGTCTTGTCTCAAAAAAAAAAGAAAAAAGAAAGAAAATAACTTCTCTCAGGTATCAATTTTTATCTTTCTTCATTCACACACACACAAAAATGACAAACTCTTGCAAGAACCCTGTTTTAGAAACTGCCAGAGAGAAAACTCCCTGGCCATCTTTTTCTCTACTGCTATATACTTAGAGCCAGTTTCTCGGTCTGGGCACAATGGACATTTTGGGCCTGAAACTCTTTGTTGTGTGGTGCTGTCTTGTGCTTCATTGGATGTTTATCAGCATCTCGGGCCTCTCCCCACCAGATGCTACCCCCCCAACCACGATGTCTCCAGACATCACCAAATATTTCCTTGGGGCAAAATCGCCCCCAGTTGGAAACCAGCACTGTTGGGGAAAGCTGAGCTACTGCCCCAAAGAAGCCCAACCACAATGCAGTGGCTTAGAAAAGACAGAATTGTGTTTCTCTACGTAATACTGTGTTTCCCCAAAAATAAGACCTACCCATAAAATAAGCCCTAGCAGGATTTCTAAGCATTTGTGCAATAGAAGCCCCACCCCGAAAATAAGCCCTAGTGATGGGTGTGGCTATGCAGCGTATCTGCACAACCCATGCATGTTGTTGCGCAGCGGGAAAGAAGAGGAGCCCTTCTCATCTGCCCCATCCCAGAGGTGACCGGAAAGGTGCGGGCTGCCCCACCAACAAGGTCAGCTCCCCCTGTCAGATCACGGCCATCTTGTGCATGCTGCAAGCTGAGGCTTTGAGGGGAAAATAACACATCCCCTGGAAATAAGCCCTAGGGTGTCTTCTTGAGTAAAAATAAATATAAGACCCTGTCTTATTTTCGGGGAAACAGTAGCTCCAGTGGGAACAGTCTGGGAGGCAGGCAGCTCCACAGGGTCACTCAGGGGCCCAGATTGCATCTAGCCTGGCATCTGCGCCCAAAAGGCCTTGCCGTTGTCTGAGTGGGCAAGGCTGGGTTGCAACAGGGGGGTGTTGAGGAGAGATTGGGGGTGGATGCAAGCCTGCTGCCTGAGCACCTGCCACATCTGCTCACATTTCACTGGCGGTGACTTAGTCAAGAGCCACGTCCAACTGCAAGGAGGACTGGGAAACGTGTGGCGGGCAGTGGGCTGCACTGCACAGTCCTGTGGACTGAATTGTGTCCTTCCAAATGCAGACGGTGAAGTTCTAACCCCTGATGTGACTGTGTGTGGAGACAGGGCCTTTAAAGAGCTAATTAAAGTTGAACGAGGTCATCAGGCTGGGGTCCTCGTGAGAAGAGACAGCAGAGCTCTCTCTGCCACGTGAGGACACAGTGAGAAGGCGCCATCTGCAACCCAACCACGGAGCCCTCACCAGGCAGCAGCCCTGCTGGCACTTCCCTCCTGGACTTCTAGCCTCCAGAGCTGTGAAAAATAAACTTCTGTGGTTTCAGCCGGTGGGGCCCAGTATTTTGTTACAGATGGTGAAAAGGACTCTGATGGGCAGTTAGCAGTGTCTGCTGTCAGGATTGGATGCTGCGGTCATTGAAGGAAAAGCCAAGAGAATTGCTAAGGTGTGGACCCAACACTTGACATCACTTGTTGTCAAAACTGCAAGGAAGTTTCGGGAGGGGCTCTGGGCTCAGTTGCTCACTGCACAAAGATCCAATGACTGAGACAGAAGACTGCCAAGTAAGAAAGGGATTTTTAATACACAGACACAGACATCCTGCAGGAGACTGGGAGAAGCCACCTCAAATCCATCTCTCCAACTAACAGAGATCTTGGGCTTTTAAAGGAGGGGCCCCGTGGCTTGGGGCAGGTGGTGGTGCCCTAATAACAGGCCACAGTGGTGCTTTGGGGGCGGGTCGTGGGGATGGTGAGTCCTGGTGTCAGGAGTCTGCCCAGCGGCCTCCAGAATTTCAGCTCCTTTGCTTTGTAGAAAAGCCACCATTTCTGGGAAACAACTCAAAAGGTCAAGTAGTTAGTTAAGGGGCAGGATTATTTAAAAAATACATAGGGGGCCAGGCGCAGTGGCTCATGCCTGTAATCCTAGCACTCTGGGAGGCTGATCGTTTGAGGTCAGGAGTTCAAGACCAGCCTGAGCAAGAGTGAGACTGCATCTCTACTAAAAATTGAAGAATTAGCTGAGCATGGTGGTGTACACCTGTAGTCCCAGCTACTAGGGAGGCTGAGGCAGGAGAATCACTTGACCCCAGGAGTTTGAGGTTGCTGTGAGCTAGGCTGACTCCACAGCATGGGTGACAGAGTGAGACTCAGGGAAAAAAAAAATATATATATATACACACATATATATATATATATGTGTATATATACATATATATCTGTAGTCATTGAAATTTGTTCATTGGGGCCAGTATCACACGGAGCAGCAGAAGCAGCTCTTAGCTAACTCTGGACTTCGTGAAAGCTCAGATAATGAAATATCTTGATGCTTTGAGCAGCAGCTGGTTGGTACTCTGGGACCTGCAGTTAAAGGCACAATGATAAGAGAGGTATGCCATGTTGGGATAGGCAGAAGAAAAATTGGTTCTTGCATCTCAATAACAAACGTCGCTGTTTGTGCAGTTTGAACAATTCCTGCGGCAGCCCCTCCCCCCAGCACACAGGCTCAGCCATCAGGTTCTATCTTCCCCTCCCACTCCCACAGGTGAGCAGGAAGGGACCATTCACAGCCTGGTGAACTGTGTTTCTCCCGCCCGTCTGCGCGGCAAGTTCTGGACACAGGCCGTCCTGGAACCCTGCGTGACCCTAGCAAGGCTCTCTCCCGCACTGTGACCCCCACCCCCTCATGCTCTGGACAGCAACAAGGTGGACATTCTATAGCAAGAGACCTCGGTGAGACAAAGGGACATTCCTTTATTCCTTACCTATGAAAGACAGGGTTAAGGGCCATTCTTACTTAGTATTTGTGAGTTTTCACTAGGTTGTGCCGTGGTAACAAACGATCCTAAAGTCTCAGTGACTTCAGAGTCACAACAGTCACTTCTTGCTGGTCCTACTGCAGAAAGGAGACCAGTGTCAGGGCTGCCCCGCCCAGCTCCTCACGCAAATGGGAAGGTAAAGGCTTCAGGCACCCGGGGCCCTGGAGTAGGGGCTTCGGCAGTACTTGGTACTCGGGGACCAGCTGCGGTGGCTGACAAGAAACTACCGAAGTTCCTGGGGAAGCAAAAGACCATTTCCTAAAAACACAATGGATGGAGATGAGAAAACCTACGGTGGCTGGGAAGGCTCTGGTGCCACGTGTCAAACCGATGCCTTCTGATGGTCATGAGTTTATTGTACAAAAAGAACATGCGCTGACATCAGGAACAATAAAAGCCATGTTGGGTGCCCAGGTCAGTTTGGTGAGAACAAATCAGTGAGGTCGATTTCAGTTACAGATCCCTTCACATGCACTATCGAAACTATGCACATACTTTACCTACGAGGTTTGCTACACTAACAGCTCCACCGAGATTCCTCAATTCCTAGTTGCACTGGAGCTGCTGATGGCTGCAAACTTCCTAGATTGTTAAATAAAATAAATGATAATAGACTGTTAATTTTTCAGTACTTAATACCTGTAGTTCAGTTAGTAGGTTTTTGTACGTAGCATGTTGTCTGTGTGCAATTGAACTATAAAGTTCATTGCAAAGCAGATTATCTTATGTTTTTTGCATTATCAATTCAGGTTGAAATTTGTTTGCTATATCAACAAATTAAGGACATTTTCACAAACAGAAATGAATATGCCAATTAGAAAAAAAAGGCTTCAGGCACCTGTGAAGAACTGGTGCCATAGATCATTCATTAAGGAAATACGTTGCTGACCTCCCATGAACAAGGACATGCAAATTGTAACTATGTCTAGCACCTAAAGCTAAAGCATGTGGGATTCCACACTAATATGAATTATAATTTTATCTTTATAGGTAACATAACTGGACACAACACAGAATCAGACATTCTTCCACCCACCCAGGGACATCTACATGATTCATGCTTCTTCACTTCCTTTTTCTCTTCTAACATTCTGCTTATTTTATGTAAAATGTAAATGTCCGGGGGCTCTCAAGAATGTAACAATTTTGCACGGGCAGCTTCCTTTCTCTCTCTATGCCTTTATTTATTTATTTTTTTCCCCTTTGTTTTTTGAGACACAGTCTCACTCTGTTGCCCCAGCTAGAGTGCCGTGGCATCAGCCTAGCTCACAGCAACCTCAAACTCCTGGGCTCAAGCAATCCTTCTGCCTCAGCCTCCCCAGTAGCTGGGACTACAGGCATGCGCCACCATGCCTGGTTAAATTTTTATATATATATATATATATATTCTTTTTTTTTTCAGTTGTCCAGCTAATTTCTGTTTTTAGTAGAGACAGGGTCTCGGTCTTGCTCAGGCTGGTCTCGAACTCCTGAGCTCAAACAATCCGCCCGCCTCAGCCTCCCAGAGTGCTGGGAGTTCAGGCATGAGCCACTGTGCCCGGCTTCTATATGCCTTTAAATGCTGAAGGTTCCAACTTCCCCTTCTAAAAAACAGCCACAGCTTGTCTGTGGTCTGAGTTTTCTCAACTTTGGCTTCATAAAACCTCCGTTGATTTTTTTTCTTTGCCTCAGTCATTTACTGGGTTGGCAGTACCTATCAGCTGCGGTGGCTGCACTTCGTGTACCTTCATGCCAGGATCTGGGGTGAAAAATCAGCACTAACGGTAGGACACAGGCTGTTTTCACGTTAGGGGCAGGAAGGGATGGCTGAACCACAAAACAAAATTTAAAGCTTCTGCCTGAATGGGGCTCATGCCAGCTGTGAACATTACATTAGCCTTTGGAATGCACATGGCCAAGCTTAACATTAAGGATTGAAAGGAAACCACCCTTCCAGATACCAAAACTGAATCAGGCAGGGTGCTGTCAAGAAAACATACTCTAGGTATTGTCAAAGAAAAAGAACCCAAACCCTGTAAAATAATTTAAAGAGGTTTATTCTGAGCTGAACATGTGTGACCATAGTGCTAGAGTACCTCACCAGGAAGCCCATCACAACACCAGAAAGCTGTCCTGGTCTGAAGTAGTGAAGCAGGCGGTTCTCAAACGCTCTTTAGACATCTCCCACGCTCTGGCTGTGACTGCCCTCCTAAGAATAATGGCCTCAAAGTTTTGAGTGCCTCGCATTGGCAAACTCTAACACAGAGCTACACAGATGAGATTCTGGAAAACGTAGTTTCTACATTTTCTTCTGCTAAGCTAGAAAGTGATGTCTAGCTGACAACAGACAATTTGGCTCAAATAGATATTAGTATTTTAGACATCAGAAATATTACATTATTAAATATGGAATGTCCAATTTCCTTAAGTACTGAGTTTGACAGTTGATATCTTTAACATCTCACTTTGACACTTCTGGTTTCTTTTTCCTTTCTTTTTTTTTTTTTTATTGTGAAGATACACTCTCATTTTTCAAACGCATGTTTTGGATTTTGATTATCTTTCAAATTTTTTTTTGGTTAGAGCAATTTTTAAGAGACCATGGATAAGTCAAAAATTTGTGTTATTTTTGAACACAAGTTCCATCATAGAATGAATGCAGCACAGACAGCTCAAAATATCAATGAAGTGTTTGGGAAGGATGTGGCTAATGAACGCACAGTACGTCAGTGGTTTTAGAAGTTCCGTTCTGGTGATTTTAATCTTGAAAATGAGCCAGGTAGGTGACCTGAGACCCAGGTGGATAATGATGAGCTGAAAGCTGTAGTGGAAGCGAGTCCATCTCAACCTATGCATGAATTAGCTGCAAGGTTTGATGTTACTATTCCAATAATATTGGACCACTTGAAACAAATCATCAAGGTAAAGAAGCTGGATAGATGGGTTCCACATGAATTAAACAAGCATCAGAAGAGAAATCGTCTCAAAGCTTGTCTTTCTTTGCTGTCTCAATATAAAGGTGAACTATTTCTACACTGTATTGTTTCGTGTGATGAAAAATGGATTCTTTTAGACAATTGCAAGCATTCGGCACAATGGTTGACTAAAATGCCAAAATATAGCCCAAAATAAAATATTCATCAAAAAAAGCTAATGGTGTCTGTCTGGTGGTCCAGCGCTGTTATTATCCACTACAGCTTCATGAAACCTGATCAGTCAATTACAGTGGATGTCTACTGCAACCAACTGGATGAAATGATGAGGATGCTTGCAATGAAGCAGGCAAGACTGGTCAATAGAGACAAGCCAATCCTTTTGCAAGGCGCAACCACATGTTGCACAAACAACAAAAACTGGACTTGGAAACTCTCGTCATCCACTGTACTTACCAGCCCTTGCACCAACTTACTACCACTTCTTCCAGGCTTTGGACCACTTCTTATAAGGAAAATTATTCAATTCTCAACAAGCCGTGCAAAACGCCTTTCACGATTTCATAGCCACTCGCTCTCTGGGCTTCTTCGCTGCTGGCATAAATAAGCTACTGTTAAGATGGTAAAACTGTGTCAATAGTTTAGGTGCATACTTTGATTAATTGTATCGCTTCTTGTTTGAGATATAAGAAACTATACTTTTGATTCAAAATTGGACATTTCATACAACAAATTGGCTGGGTGCAGTGGCTCACGCCTGTAATCCTAGGACTTTGGTACACCAAGGAAGGAGGATCACTTGAGCCTAGGAGTTTAGAGACCAGTGACAGCAACATAGCGAGACCCCTTCTCTATGAAAAACAGAAAAATTAGGCAGGTGTGGTTGTGGCGTGCCTGTAATCCCAGCTACTTGGGAGGCTGAGGCAGGAGGATCCCTTGAGCTCAGGATTTTGAGGTTGCAGTTAGCTATGATGCCACTGCACTCTGGCCCGGGGAACAAAGCGTGGGGGGATAAAAGAGGATTAAATAAATAAAATAAAGAGCTTCACCTAAAAAATGTCCAAGCAGCCTGGATGTCCCCAGGATAACAGCAAACATTACTAAATGCTTTCTAGATGCTAGGGGTTCTTAGGACTTTTTCACCTTCCTGTGACACAGAATTTTTATCATCAGACAACCTCAAATAGTGGATTGAGGCAGAGATCTCAATCATTGGAAGTTTATTAAGCCAACATTGAAGACACACTTGGGTAAAACTACAAACCACAGACAAATCTGTGGTGGTTTTTGTGAGGCAGGATTTGGGACCTGAGGTTTTAAAGGGGAAAGGGGGTGGGTAGTTAGACGAAATGGTCACATTCTTGAGAGACCAGGAAATCTGTACCGTGTTTCCCCAAAAATAAGAGAGGGTCTTATATTTATTTGTCCTCAAGAAGACACCCTAGGACTTATTTTCAGGGGATGTGTTATTCTCTCTGGGCTCAGTAGGAGATAGCTTGCTGAAGCTCTTCCCTTATCCCCTGGTGTGTCTGGGGGAGAGGGGTGAGAGAGGCTCACAGTGCTGAGTAAAATGGCAGCCACAGCTTTTCTTCTCCCTCACTTCACTGAGGAGACTGTCCCCTCAAGCCTCAGCTTGCAGCACGCACAGGATAGCCGGGACCTGACAGGGAGCCGGCCTTGTTGCTGGGGCTGCCCGCACCTTTCCGGTCACCTCTGCGATAGTAGCTGTCAGGATGGGGCAGATGAGAAGGGCTGCCTGTCTTCACCGCTCCACGACGACACGCATGGGTTGTGCAGATGCGCGCTGCGTAGCCACGCCCGTCACTGGGTCTTATTTTCAGGGTAGGGCTTCTATTGCACAAATGCTTAGAAATCCTGCTGGGGCTTACTTTACCGGTAGTTCTTATTTTCGGGGAAACACGGTACTTTACACAAGATAAGGTGAACATTAGACAAGAAAAAGGACATGCAGGGAGTATCAATTATGCAGATGTCCCTGGGCGGATGGAGGAAGGTTTGCTCTTGTCTCAGTTCTGCCCCCGAGAAGATAAACTTGCAATTCGCTAACAGTGTGGAATGGAACAGACTTTGCACGTCCTCGCTCGTGGGCGGCCAGCAAGGAATGCCCCGCGGGCGCGCGCGGCGTCCTCCCGGGTGCCGGCGCCCCGTCCCTGGGGACGCAGAACGCCGGGAACAGCTGATCACCGGGGAAGGGGCGCTGCGTGACCCAGCCCCTTCCTCTGCAGGCGGAGCTGGGGTGATCCCGGGATTCCCCCTTCCTTTACTCGTCGCGACTCACGTGTCACAGGAGTCGGAGGCACAGGACGGAAACACGCCGTCGCCGAGCCCGCGTTTTTCTGGCGCCGCCGCGTGGCCGGAGCCCGGACAGGCCCGCCCCGCCGCGCTCTGCAGGACCAGGTTCCAGAACGCCGTGGGACGCGGCGCGGCCGGTCGAGCCCCTGCCCCGCGTCGGCCCGGCCCGGCCCGCACCCAGACTCCCGCCGGCGGCCGCCCAGCCCACGGCCCGCACCGGCTCTCCAGGCGGCGACTGCCCGCGCGCCCTAGGTCGCAGACTACCGGGCGGGAAAGTGGGTACTGCCACCACAGCAGGCGGCTCTTGACGCAGGCGCGGGCGCCGACCCCGCCCAGGCCGATCTCAGCCAATCGGGCAAGCGTCTGGGAATGCTAGCCAATCGTGGCGCGCGCCTCATATGCCAGCCAATTGGAGCCGCGGGATCCGGCCCCGCCCCTGAAGATCCCAGCCAATCGGGCAAGAGCCGGGGAATGCCAGCCAATCGTAGGGCGCGCCGCTTACGCCGGCCAATGGGAGCCGTGGGCGACGGCACGGTGGCGCGGCGCGGCGCGGCCATGGCGGGGCGGCGCGGGGCGCTGATCGTGCTGGAGGGCGTGGACCGCGCGGGCAAGAGCACGCAAGCCGGCCGGCTGGTGGCCGCGCTGAGCGCCGCGGGGCGCCGCGCCGAGCTGCTCCGCTTCCCAGGTGGGTGGCGGCGGCACCGCGAGCCCGCCCTGCGCCCGGCTGCTCGGGCTCCGCCGCCCGTGCCCGTCCCCGAGGTTCCGGCCTCCGCCTGGTTGTGGCGGCTCGTCGCCTTCCCGGGCTCACGGCGCGTTCGTGTCTTCAAGGGCCGGGTCTGCGTCTCCCCGCTGACGGCAAGCGCCGGCCCGGACTGCGCCCCTGACGGCGCCGCGCGCTAGGCGGACGCGGGCGGAGTCACGCGCGGGCCGGCGGTGGAGTAGCAGCCTGCGCTCCCCCGGCAGCCCGTCCCCAAACCCTGCGGATGCCTCCCTGGACGTCTCTACTTTCTGCCCGAGTCCTTTAGCCAAAGCGCTTTCCGTCCCCGCGCCTGCGCCTTGCTGCCCTCCTCGGCGAGAGTCCCTGGGCTTCAGGGCAGGGCCAAGCCGGCCAGAGATTCAGTAAAGTGAAACCCGGTGGGAAGGACACGTTCTGCCCAAACTACATGCTAAGTAAATGGAAAGCCTGACCTCATTTGCATTTGTATTTTTCTCTTTTCCTAGAAAGATCAACTGAAATTGGAAAGCTTCTGAGTTCCTACTTAGAGAAGAAAAGTGAAGTGGAGGACCATTCTGTGCACCTGCTGTTTTCTGCGAATCGCTGGGAACAAGTGTGAGCCTGCCCTGCTGCTGCCCCCAAACCAGGCCCTTTGCCGCCTTCTGAGACTCAGTGACCGCAGCTCTTGATTCTGTGACGCTGCCAGGCTGGGGCTGAGGTTGTGCTTTAATGTTTACAAGGTGCTTTTACTCATCGGTCATCAGTCCTGTGAGCAGAGGTGCTGGAGTTCCCAAAGAGCACTAACAATGCTTTTTCTTCCTTTTGCCCCCCCCCCCGCCTTTGTAACTCATAGACTTATTTTTTTAAAGATAGTTTTAGGTATACAGAAAAATCGATCAAAAAGTAGAGTTCCTACATACTAGGAATTCCTTTCCCCCACCCACCCCACGTGCTCTCCTGTTTTCCGCATTATTTATATGTTGTATTGGTGTGTTACACTTGTTACAATTCGTAAGCAATATTGATACATTGTTAACTGAAGTTCATACTTTGTATTAGGGTTTACTCTCCCACCTCCTTTTAATTTTACATCATAGTAGGCTTCCTCTTCATTCAACATTTAACTAATGTTTATTGAGTGCCTGTAGTCTATCTTTTCAAATGTTTTTGCTTCTGTTTATATACACATGTAGATAACACATGCAATCAGAGTTTTGTTTTTTAATATAAATGGGTCATACCATATAAATTATTTGTCAACTTACCTTATAACGCTGCCTTACAGATCTCTGCACTTATGCATCTGTCAACCATTCTTCCTCATTCTTTTTCATTGCTGTAGAATGTTCTTTAGAAAGGTTACTCCATGTGCGTTGAGCCAGTTTTTCTGCTGGTGGACTTGCCATGATTTCCCTGGTTCCTCTTGGGTGAAACCCTGCATTACCTCCTCTGGCTCAGTTGGACAGGCTTTCCCCATTCCAAGTTTTAGATGAAAACAAGACCATTTTTATAAACTTTCAACACAGCTGGGATTTATGGAGTAATTGTTCTGATTTTGCTTTTTGTAGCTTTGTAGAAAAGTGACGTAAGATATATGCCCAGTTCAAAATGAAGAATCATCCTGATTTTACTTTCTAAATAGTAATCTTATCCCAGGTACCCAGGTCTGCATCTCTCTTGTCCATCTGTTCTGCCACAGGTTGCTTGTTTCACTAAGTAATATATGTTTAAGTTTCTTGCATGTCTTATTGGGCTTGATAGTTTATTTGTAAGTGTTAATTAATAGTCCATTGTCTGGATGTACTGCAGTATACTCATGCACCTACTAAAGGACATCTTGGTTGCTTCCATGTTTTGGCAATTATGAATAAAGCTGTTATAAACATCCACATGTAGGTTTTTGTGTGGTCAAAAGCTTTCACCTCCTTTGGGTAAATACCAAGGAGCAGTATTGCTGGAATACTTTTGGTCGGCTGTGCTTAGTTTTGTAAAGTATTGCAGAACTGTCACTGAAGTGGCTATGCTATTTTGCATTCCCACCAGCAATGTAGTAAGTTCCTGTTGGTGCATATCCTACCCAGCATTTGGTGATGTCAGTGTTCTGGATTTTTGCCATTCTAATAGGTTTTGTAGTGGTGTCTCGTTTTAATTTGCATTTTCCTGAAGATGTTTGATGTGGAGCATCTTTTCATAACCCTATTTGCCATCTGTGTATCTTCTTTGGTGAGCTGTCCATCAAGTTCTTTGGCCCATTTTTTAATGGGATTATTTTTTTGAGTTTCAAGAGTTGTTTGTATATTTTGGATACTTTTATCAAATATGTCTTTCGTGCATGTTTTCTCTCAGTCTGCAGCCTGTCTTTTCATTCTCTTGACAGTGCCTCTCCAAAAGTAGAAATTTTTTATTTTAGTAAAGTCCAGTTTATTAATTCTTTCATGGGTTGTACCTTTGGTACTGTAGCTACACAGTTATTGCCAAACCAAAGGTCACCTAGGTTTTCCTCTATGTTATTGTCTAGGAGTTTTATAGTTTTGCATTTTACATTTAAGTCTGTGATCCATTTTGAGTTTTTTTGTTTTGTTTTTAATGGCTTAAAACAACACACATTCTTTATCTTACAGTTCCCCAAATAAGTCTCACTGCACTAAAAATATTAAGGTGTCAATAGGGTTGGTTCCTTCTGAAGGCTACCTGTATCTTGTGACCCCTTCCTCACATTACTACGCTAACCTGTTGCTTCAGTCATCATGTCTGCTCTTTTTTTTTTTTTTTATTGAGACACAGTCTCGTTCATTACCTGGGCTGGAGTGCAGTGGTGTCATCATAGCTCACAGCAACCTCAAACTCCTGGACTCAAGCAATCCTTCTGCCTCAGCCTCCCGAGAAGCTGTGACTAGGTGTGTGGCACCACACCCGACTAATTTTTCTATTTTTTGTAGGGGTGGGGTCTCACTCTTTCTCAGGCTGGTCTCGAACTGACCTCAAGCGATCTTCCCTCCGTGGCCCCAAAGTGCTAGGATTACAGGCGTGAGCCAGCATACCTGGCTTAGTTTTGTGAAGGTTGTAAGGTCTGTGTCCAGATTCATTTTGTTACATGTGGATGTCCAATTGTTGCAGCACCATTTGTTGAAACGACCTTTATGAAAGATGTGTTGGCTCTGCACGAGTGTCCCTGTGATCCGAAGGTCCCAGTGAGATTGGCTGGGAGGAATGAATTTGACTTGGCCTTCTCTGGCTTACGTGATGTTTCTTGCTAATGTTAGGCCCCCTATCTTTGCACATCTACAGTCTTGGTGGCTGTGGGGATGATGGTGGCCCTGTGGGTTGTTTGGTTGAAAACGTCCTTGTGGTCCAGGCCTGGGGCACATCTGTGCATCATCTGCTGGCTTTGCCTGCCCCCTCTCCGCCACCATCCTTTGCGGTTCTTCATCTCGGCAGGGTGGTGCTGGCCCCTGCCCAGACAGCTGAGAATGCTTTTTCTTTCCCTACCTGTGTTTATAGAACACCTGGCTCGATCAGTTGTGTTTGTTACTGTTTAGTGGGGTTGTCTTTTCCACGTTGAGCTTTGCTGGGAGTGTCCAGATGGCATCTCTAAAGAGAAGATCTAGAACTTTTGGAAATAAAACTAAAGTTACAAATCACTGTGCTGTAACTGTTGTTATGTAGGCTTTCTGAGCTGTGTTGTCAGGATAATTTAAGCAGGACAGTTCAGGGCCTATGAAACCAGGGCCTATGAAACTAGGACCGGGGCTCAGGAGCATTTTCTGTTTTTCAGGCCATTGATTAAGGAAAAGTTGAGCCAGGGAGTGACCCTCGTCGTGGACAGATACGCGTTTTCTGGTGTTGCCTTCACGGGTGCGAAGGAGGTGAGTCCCGCCTGGCCTCCTGCCAGTCAGACGCCAAAGGTGGGGGCCCGGGGCCGCGTCAGTCACAGCATGAGTAACCCACTCGAATTACTCTTTGGAGTTTTATGAATCTCATATTCCTTTTATCTCTTTGCTAGATTAATTTGCTTTTTATTGACAGGAGCAAACATTTAGGTAGCTGCAGCTTCTTCTCACAGACATCATCACAGTTATTTGGACAGCGTGTTTCACACGCATTTTCACAGATGGTTCATCATCAGCACTGCTCTGTCCAGCGTCTCACTTTCCCACCCGATGTTGGGAGTGTCTGGGAGGCCTGATTCTTACTTCCTGCTCTCCCTCCCTGTTCCAGGAAGCTGCTGCTGCTCCACAGGTGTGGTGGTGGTGACTGCACTGCCCTTTTCTCTGCTGCTGCTTTTTAAAATTTCAAATATGTGTCAGCAGAGAAAATAATAAACCACACAGTATTGTCATAAGCCCTAGGGACCTTCTGGTCTCCTCTGTGCTACACCAGATGACATGGTCAGTTCTTTGGTAAATGTTTCAGTACATGTCCAAAAAATGACTTTTTAAAGAACATAATCTTACCTAAAAAAAAAATTAATGGTCATTCTGTAGTGTCACCAAACATTCAGTATTCAAATTTCCCAGCACTCTCTCAAAAGCTGTTTGTCTTGCTTATATTTTTATAGTTAAATAAGAATCCAATAAAAGTCCATTTCTTAAAACTGTTTTGATATGTATGTAGGTTCTCACATCTCTTCCTAGTAGTACAATTTTTTAAAATTTTATTTCTGCAAGGCTACTTTGAGGCATGTTGGGCTCTCCCATCAAGAGACCAGTGACGTCTGCTCTTCTCTTTCTCATGACAGCAGCCCTTGATGGTGACTGACTACCAAATGATAGCCTTTTATTTTGTGATTATTGTGGGTCCTTAATAGTTGTATAAATGATGGCCTCTTAACACTGTCATTTCTTCCTCCTGTGTTATCTGGAGTCCTCCCCCCGTGGAGGGTTAAGTTTGTGTAACAAGGAGGACGGACAAGTGGCTGAGGAGCCGTGGGCTTGTCCTCTGCATCCTCCCTCCTCACCAACGTAGGCCTGGGGGAAGGTAGGCCTGGAGGCAGCTCCCTTCCTCAGCTCCTGGTGTGCCGTGGTTTGTGGGCTCGAGTCACCCAGACTCCGTGCCTTTCCTCCAGAAACAGGGACACATGTAGGGGTGGGTGGCATGAACAAGAGGGAAGGGGCCTGTGCGATCTGGAGCTCAGGGCTGGCACATGGCTGGGAGACCACACACAGCGGCTTCCAGGACTGCCCGTCTCTTTCCTGCTCTTCTGAGGGGCAGACGCCCTGGGGTCTGTCAGTGCAAGCACACGGCCAGGGCTCAGGGCTCTGCTCTCCACCCTTGGCCTCCTAGGCCAGGTGGGCCTTGAGGGTCTCTGTACACAGACCGTGCTCCCCTCCTGGCCAGGGGGTCTGGAGCTGCATCAGGAGGTCACCGCAGGGCCAGGCTGTGGGTGACCAAGACGTGGGCCGTGGGCTGTTCTGTACGCTCTTCTGCCTTCTGGTGTGCATGTTCGCAAAACAAACACTAGAAAGTGACATGAGGGAAGGCAACATGTTTGAGATTTAAAAAATAAAAAAAGAGCCACTACTGTGTAAGAATTCTCATTTCTTGGTACCTCATCAGATGTCCCCTCATTTTCCCCTTCTGTGACTTGAAACAAAAAACTAGATCCCACTGAGCTTCCTTTTCCTGTCGGGTTCTTTGTTGGCAGAACTTTTCCTTGGACTGGTGTAAACAGCCGGACGTGGGCCTTCCCAAACCCGACCTGGTCCTGTTCCTTCAGCTGCGCTTGGCAGACGCAGCCCTGCGGGGGCAGTTCGGCCAGGAGCGCTACGAGGACAGGGCCTTCCAGGAGCGGGCGCTGCAGTGCTTCCAGCAGCTCATGGGAGACGCCACCGTGAACTGGAAGGTGAGGGCCCGAGAACTGCAGGCGGAGCCGCTGGACGGAGGTGCAGGGTTCCACCCTTGCCGACTAGAGCGGCCGCTCGGGCGAAGCTGCCGCCTCCTGTCTGCTTTCCCACCGCGGAGCCTCGGGAGCTGCCATTCGGGGTTCCCGTTGCCAGCAAGTTCCGGTGTCTGCTGGGTTTTGCAGAGCGAGTTGGCGAGTGAGGCGGGTTTAGCACAGTCCTCCGTGTTCCCAGCTCCTCGTCAGACACTAGCCCCAGCCTGTGCCCGTGTCTTCTGTCACTGCCCCACCTGGCCATCCCCGTGCCCAGGAAGGTGCGTTGCACCTGGCTTCCTGCAGGCCCAGGACGGTCCAGGGGCCGGCCTCACTCCTCCCTTTCCTCCCAGGACTCTTTACTCTGGCCCAGGGTGGATGCCTGTGCCGGCTGCCTCTGCTGGGTCACCCTGCCTTCTCTCCCTGCTCCCGCTCCACCCACCTCAGCCCAGTGCAGCCTCTCTGCACACAGCGGCAGGAGGGGTCCTGGCAGGTCACCTGCCTGCACTGTCCAGTTTGTGACCGCTGCCCACGCGGAGCTTAGTCCTGGAGCTCCTGTCGCAGAGCAGGGCTGAGTCTCGCCCAGCCCGACTGGCGTCGCCTGCAGAGAATGTTGGTCACACACGTTTTCTTGTTTTCTGGAGCAGAGGACAGAGAACAACACTCTTTTCCATGAAATGCATGTTCTCTTTTGCCATAGGCCAGCCCAGAGAGCCATGCTGGCAGTGGCTGGAGAGGTGACACCTGGGAGGGGTGGCCCTTGGTAGGAAGTCACTCTCACAAGGGTGTGGTCACATTCTTCCAAGTGCCTTCTCAGCCCTGGGGGAGTCTAGGTTTGCTGTGCCGCAGGCCTGGGAAGGGCCCTGCCCCGGGCTGAGGGCTGAGGGCGCCGCAGAAGAGGCGATTCCCTCCTACCCTCCTTCCTTCTGGTGATCCACATGCTGTTCATGTGAGGGTGAGCACAGCTGTCAGGACAAAATGCATCTGTCCCAAGAGGATGGGAGTTAGACCAAGGGTGGGTTGGTCCTGCCGAGCAGCTACTGCTGTAGAACTTCCTCACGTTCCGTCTAGACACCTCCAGGTCCGGGGAGTGACTGGGGCAGGGGCAGGGCGGGGGCTGGCCTCTGTGCCTGATTTCTCCCTGCTGACCTGGGCAGTCACTCTGAGCACTGGTGTTCGCTGCGGGTGGTGCTAACTGCGTGCACTGCGCCTTGCCCCTTGGGCCGGCCGGCACCATCCAGGCCACTCAGGAGAGGGGTGACCGTCGGCCACCGCGTCTCTCCTGCGTCTGGGCTGTGGCGGGAATTCGGGGTGCTCTGTGCCAAGGACGCTGCTGAGGTCTAGGCTGAGAGGGGGTGGGCTGAAGGATCCCGGAGGCCCTTGTGCTGTGCAGGAGGCACAGGCTGGCACAGGAGGCCAGAGCCTGGCCCGTAAGGAATCCCCACATGCAGTGAGGGTAGAAGGGAATGTTAATGGTCGTCCTTTTCTCCCAACTCCCTGTGGGAACAGATAGTCGACGCTTCCAAGAGCATTGAAGACGTCCACAAGGAAATCCTCACCCTGTCTGAGGACGCCATCCGCGCTGCCGCTCAGACGCCACTGGGGGAGCTGTGGCAGTGACCCAGGCTGCCCTGGAGACACCTGCCCCCTGCGGGAGGCCCTGGCACCCAGCGGTATTGAGTTTTGGGAGCTGTTTCCAGTGGCAGAGATCTCAGCTCGCCTCTCCTGGCCAGCGCTGGGAGTGCCAGGGACCCTGCAGTGAGGACACTGCCAGCACAGACCCCACACCTACAGCGGAGCAGTGTTCCTCTGCCTTCTGCTTTATCCTGAAGACGCTACTGTATTATCATATTTTTTTTACTGAAATTAATAATTCTGAGCAGTTTCATTGAGATCATGGGAAATGGTAATCAGCTGGAATTCTAAATTTCTTACAGGCACTAATAAAAATTGATCTGAAAATATGTTCATGAGAGGCTTCACTTGTTTTAAAAATTTTACTTCACAGGGTCTTGCTGTGTTGCCTAGGCTGGATTTCTCCTGGGCTCAAGTGCTCCTCCCATCTCAGCCTTCTGAGTAGCTGGGTGCCACCGTGCCCAGCCCTTCAAGGCTTCTCTTTTCTGAGACATCAGCTGAGGACTGAGCTGGCTTCGAGTGGGAATCTCCATCCCAGGTTAAGGGCCCTGGTGGACCTTGGTTCCTGCCGAGGTGAGAGCTGGGTCTTCTCACTGTGGTCTGAACAAGTGGCAGCCGTGCCCCGGCTCTGAGCCCAGGTGTCCTGGTCTTACTGGGCCCAGCCAGGCTGTATCTGAGTGGTACCAGGCCTCTCTTCTGAACACATGGGTGTTAACTTTGCTATTATTTTCATTATAACCCTGGAGCTTTTCATTCTACCTCCCCCTTTTTTGAGACAGGGTCTCCCTCTGTCACCCCAGCTAGAGTGCCATGGTGTCAGCCTAGCTCACAGCAACCTCAAACTCCTGGGCTCAAGCAATCCTCCCACCTTACCCTCCTGAGTAGCTGGGACTACAGGTGACACCACAATGCCCAGCTAACTTTTCTATATTTTTGTAGAGACAGTGTCTCACTTTTGCTCAGGCTGGGCTCAAGCGATCCTCCCACCTCGGCCTCCCAGAGTGCTGGGATTACAAGCGTGAGCCACCGGTGCCCAGCCCCATCCCTTTCTAAATGATCCTGAGACGAATGATTTGTCAACACCTCCTGGGTTGAGAGCAGTGTGCAGTGTGCTGCAGGGGGGGGTCAGGCAGGGCCCCCCATGAGGGGTCTTGGGACGACTCCTCCTGTGGCCAAAAGATCCAGGCAGAACAAACGGCTGTGGCATTTGGGTGAACCGTGAAAGGAGCTTTGAGATGGGAGAGTGTCCCGGGTCATCCAGGTGGGCCCAGCGTCATCTCGGGTGCAGGGAGAGGCCGGAGATTCTGCACTGCGGCTGTGAAGGTGGAGGAAGGGGCCGCCGACCAAGGACCGGAGGCTGGAAAGGGAATGTTCCGCCCCAGACCGACCACATGGTCTGCACTCGGCCCTCAGGATGGTGAGGGTCGATGTGGCACTGTCTTGGAGGAGCCACAAGAAGCTCATGGAGGCATTTAAGAGGCTGTGGCTAGGCTGGGTGTGGTGGCTCAGGCCTGTAATCCTAGCACTCTGGGAGGGCCAAGGTGGGTGGATCCTTTGAGCTCAAGAATTCGAGACCAGCCTGAGAAACAGTGACACCCGTCTCTACTGAAAGTAAAAAGAAATTAATTGGCCAACTAAATTTATATAGAAAAAATTAGCCAGGCAAGGTGGCACATGCCTGTAGTCCCAGCTACTCGGGAGGCTGAAGCAGGAGGATCACTTGAGCCCAGGAGTTTGAGGTTGCTGTGAGCTAGGCTGACACCACGGCACTCACTGTAGCCCGGGCAACAGAGTGAGACTGTCTCAAAAAAAAAACAAACAAAAAAAAACAGGCTGTGATGAGTTCTCAGGCCCAGCAGTGCTTCCCCTTTCCCAGTTGGATGTGGGGGTGGGCCAGAGGACGGGGTGCCCAGGATTGTCCACAAGGACTTCACGGCGCAGGGCAAGCAGATGTTCTCGCCGTCCCTGGACACGTCCCTCCTTGCCCCAGCCCACAACAGCCACAGCTCGCCTGCCATCACCGAGGCAAACGGAAAGCTCTGCCGTCACCGAGGCAACCCTACAGGGGACGCACTTCCTACAACATCCTGCTGGAGAAGGAAAGCTCTGCCGTCACCGAGGCAACCCTACAGGGGACGCACTTCCTACAACATCCTGCTGGAGAAGCAGCGCTGCCATCTCACTGTCCTGAAATCATTTTCCTTGCACTTTCTTCTCTTAGGGTCACATGCTCACCCAACATACGTGATGACAGGTGTCATGGCACGCAGACAGCCGGGCTGGAAGCAGGAGAGACTCTGGCTGCCCAGTCTGGGGAACGGGCTCGCTCCTTTCCGTCGGCCGCATCCTGTACATGTGACGTCGTGGGCTCGCAGTTTTCCTGGAAACCACATCCAACCGCAGCTCGGGGAAGAAGTAATAGACACAAACTTTGTTTTCTACTGAAACTGTTATTATTTGCCATTAAGAACTGCAAACTACACTACGAAGAATGAGCAACGTTCTCTTCAGTAAGCCTTTTTCAAAACACACAAGACAAAGCTCCCTTTGGTCAAGGTGTTCCGCCCACTTCTACCGCAGCAAGACCCTCCTCAGCTCCCAGCAGGCTGGTGTGGAAAGATGCAGAGCGCTAAAGGAATGCAAAGTGCCCCAGCCTTCTCTCCTCCCACCCAACTACACCTGCGAAGGATGAGGGAAGAAGGGAGGAAGGAGGGGAGAGAGAAAGAATACGGAAATAAATTATGTCAGGGCACTTGGGGCCTGGGGCGTTCTCTGCTGCCTGCAGGGAGTTCTGGGCCAGTCTGCACGAGCAGCAGCCAATCTGCAAGGCCCTGCAGCCGCCACTCCCAGCTCCCCAGACCCTCCTGCTTACACTCTGGGTGAGAGGAAAGCCACTTTCGGGACAGACAGACCAGCGTGGAAATAGCAGAGTCTGGGGCCCAGGACACCAGGGTCAAGAGGTGGCAGGTGCTGAAATTAGTGCTGGGGAAGGTCTGGAAACATCACCAGCTGGCGCCTGCCCCATCCCAACTGTTCCTCACACACCACAGAGCTCAAGTGGTCTGACCCTTTTGGCCCCTAACCATCTAAAACCTCAGCGGCCACCAGGGGCACTTCTGAGCAAGGCAAAGACACAGGAAGGCTCCCAGGCAGCAGCGTGCTCCAGCCCAGCCTCAGCCGCTGCTACAGGCAGAGGAACCTCCCTGTCCCTGCCTGTCGCGGGGGAAGCCGGTGAGAAAAGCAAGCAGCAGCACGTGGTGTGTCTGGCAACGCCGCAACCTCTTGAAGTACAGAGAGCTGTGCCCGACGGTGGCCCTCGGGACTGTCACTCCAGATGCCCTGGGACACGGCAGCTGCCGCAGCCCGGCCGTCCACGCCGTGTCCCATGCACGTTGCCGTCTTTGGAGGCCCCACACGCCCCACCCCTCAAACTCTTCTCCCAGTGCAGGGAAGCCTCGCTGTGATTCTTTCCACCTGGCCTCCCCGAGGCAGCCCTTGACAAGCCACGCGGGGCAGTGGGGGACGCAGCCAAGGCTCGCCCTGCCCGGCACCAGCAGCCCAGTCCTCGGCACGCAGCCGCAGCGGCCGTCGCTCCTCACGCGCCAACCTGCAGGTCTTCCGAGACTGGCGTGGGGGGCGCCCCAGAAATTCATGTCTGTGTCGAGCAACTTCAAACAGGGCTTTTAATTCCAAACCAACCACAGAGCCGGCGCCCGGGAGGAAGCAGGACTGAAGCCAATGCGCTAGCGCAGGGCTGGCAGTGTCAGGAGGTGAACTGTCCGGAAGCTCCCAGTGGGCGGCTCCCCGTGGACGTGCAGGCCCTGACGAGCGCCGGGCTGCGCAGTCTGACTCCAGGAGTGAGGCCTCCGTCCACGGGCAGGCGGGGCGCGGCACTCGGCGTGCCGCAGGCTGGATGGATGGAGTGCCGAGGCAGGGCCGGGCTCCCAGAGGCGCCCCCAGCAGGACCAGCAGAGGCCATCCCCAGACCCCAGGGTTTCAAAGGGACAAGATTTCAAAGTCTTCATCTTCCGAGTCAAAGAATCTTTCCAGTCGCTCTACATCAGAAGAATCTAGAAAAAACAAGATACGACCTCATCAAACGTCTCTTGTGGGCAGTTCTGGGCGTGGGTGACTAGTCGCTGGAGCAGGGGGCGGACGGACAGCGCCTGTGCGGGGCCTGCCCAGGGCTGCTGTGGGAGGCACAGAGGGCACCGGGCCGCCCAGCACAGACAAGCGGAGCAACTCACTCGCGCCCGCACACGGAGTGTCCCCAGGCCAGCACCCTGGCCCCATGGTCCCTGAGGAGCGGACTCCAGCCTTGCCTGCCTGCCTGTCTTGGGGGCTTCTTTACAGTGAGACAGATAGGTGTGAGGTGGATGTGCTCAGGCCACACACCTGCTGCAGGAACTCTGGGCTCTGAGCACACCCGCTGCCATGGTCTGCCAGGCCCGGGCTGGCTCCTCATGCACGCTGACCCGAGGGCTCAGTGCCACCCGTGGCTGGTGGCTCCACAGCCAGAAGCATCATCAGAGAGGCCCTCAAGCGTTCCATCCCCAGAGCCCCATGGAGCCCTGGGTGCACCCCCAGCACCTGCATCCTGGGCAGGGGCCCCCTGTGGGGTGAGGCTCGCACGAGCAGGAGGACCAGGACCTGAGGAGGCAGGTGGCCAACACCACTGCCCTGGGTAACCCTGCCCGGTTGTGCCATCTACGCACTCACCTAGGGACAGGTTCAGGACATCAGGGCAGGCCAGGTGAGAAGGCTGCTGCTCCACCAGCTCAAACATGGGCAGGGCGCCTCCACGCAGCGACAGCTGTCAGCGAGACACGGCTTGTCAGCAAGACACGGCTGTGAGACGCGGCCCCTGCCGCAGAGATCCCCACACCCGAGAGAAGGGACACCAGCCGCAGCCACAGGGCAATCGCAGCTGTTGCCCACTGCACGGGGAGAAAATGGCAGCAAGTTTCGCAGGAACCCCATGTGGTGACTGACGAGTAGCACACACCTGCCCTGCTGACAGCGCCTGCACCCAGACCAGGCTGAGCGGCAGAGGCAGAGGGTGGTGGGCTGTGTCGTCCAGCGACCAGCAGCCTTTGGAGCAAACGAGCCCAGCAACTCACCGTCACGCCGCATCAACACGGCACGGGGGAGTTGGCTAGGGACCCCATCCTCAAGTCAGCCTTTAAGGTCTGTCCCCAGGTTTGTTTATCGTGAGTAGCATGCTGCTGGCGGACATGCCACCCTGTTCAGGCTGCACAGCTATGTGAGGCAGGAACAAGCCTCCCTGCCTCTCTCTCTCCAGGGGGCTCAGCTCTGGGTACAGGGGGCTCAGCTCTGGGTACAGGGGGCTCAGCTCTGGGTACAGGGGGCTCAGCTCTGGGTACAGGGGGCTCAGCTCTGGGTACAGGGGGCTCAGCTCTGGGTACAGGGGGCTCAGCTCTGGGTACAGGGGGCTCAGCTCTGGGTATATGCACTCAGCTCTGGGTACAGGGGGCAGCTACAAACCTTTTTCACTTGCTGGCACCAGTCATTGAAGTCGTCCTCAGTCTTACAGAAGAATCCCTAGAATGACATGACTGTAAACAACACTGCACCATGGTGAGCTGAGATGCGAGGTCTCCACTCCCACTGCCAGGTATGCGGAGGCGGCCCATGCACGCAGGTGCTGGATGCATGCCAGGCTGTCCTCACTTCTCTGGCCAGGAAGGGAGCTCCCCGGATCCCCACAAGCTGTACATGGCCCTCTGGACCCAGGCCCCAACTCTCCTTGGGCTCTGTGGCTTACTCAGCCCTTTGCCCCCTGCCTTGATTCACCCATAAGATGTTAGGTTGTGTGCAAGTTGTGACTGTAGTCAGGGCACAGTGGAGAGCACCCCCTTCTCCCTGTGGCAGGGCTAGACTCAGCCTCGACCCAGCCTCTGCCTGGAAGCTCAGCAGCAAAGGCTGCCAAGACCGCTGAGGATGAGTGCAGCTGCACCACACAGACAGGGAGTCTCGTGCTAAGGAGTCTCAGACTTGCGGCGGCCCTTCCAAGAATCACTTGGAAAAGCCATATTCTTAAAACCATCCGGACTGACAGTTACTAGGAATTCTAAACACTGCCAGATTTACAGATGTTAATGTTAAAAGAAAAATAAACGAGAAGAAATACAAAACGGAGAGAGAAGCTCAAAGTGGGCGTTCTCTCTTCTACTTTGAAGACGCTGTTTCTGCTGCCCATGGCTCTGGTCTCTGCTGGACCTGGGGAGCCAGCGTGGATTCTTCTCCTTGTGGGTGAGGACAGTTGTCCCACCCTGTGTCCCCTTTGGTCTCAGCTCTTGAAAGTTCAGGCTGATGCTCAAATGTGGGTTCTCCCCTCATGCCGCCGTTCAGCCTGCCCTCCCTGTGTGAGCGCCAATCACTGCAAGTTGCTGAGCTGTGCTCATATGACACACGCACTGAATTTTAGTTAACAAGCAACTCATGAGCACCCACCTTCCTTGTTCCTGCTACTCTGTCAGGACACCTGGGGGTGGGCCGGGAGGCACACGGGCGCAGTACACACTCCAGTGCATCTCAGAGACTGTCTCGTCTCAGGACCAGATTTCCCTGATTTTTTACGGACAGAGCAGTGCACCCACAACGGAGAGTCCACGGCTCAGTGAATCACTTCCCCAGGGATGTCAGGGTGGTTGTGGCCCCTTCCCCGTCAGAAGCATTTAGAGAGCAGGCAGGTCTGTAAAAACCACACTAAGGAAGCTAGTTCCTAGGGAATCATCTCCCAGACATGCTGAGACAGAACCCAGGGAGCTACTGGGGCGGAGCGGAAGTGGGTCTGGGGCTGCCCTTGGTGTGTGGGGACGCTCTCAGCACACGGGGACACTCCGGCCACTCGAAGGCTGTGCAGGAGGCAGACGCCTGTGGGGAGGGACCTGGGTGTCTGAGGACACTGTTCATGCTCTTGTGCCCTTCGAATTCCAAACCACAATGTGAACACGATACTTGTACCAAAATGTTGAGGAAAACTATAAAAACCTGAAGGTTCTCCTTTTCATCTAAAACAGGATCTGGGACTAAATGACTCAGACCGCCCGTAGGCTCACACAGCCAGCACGCACCACAGCAATGGACGGGTCGAGCTCCCCAATGTTCATCCTGCAGGGCGGGTGCTGGCAGTGGAAGCTCTCGTCAGGGATGAGGCCGCTATCTGCGAACTCCACCGCCGGCTGCGTCGTGTGGGGGTCCAGGTAGATAAGCTCCTCCCCTGGGCAAGACGGGGGAGAAGGTGGTGGGCAGGTGGCCAAGCCATGTTCAGACCCACCACAACATGGCCTCAAAGGGACGTGCCGTGCCCGGACACAGCGGGTGGGACGGGCGGCCTGGCTGTCGGGAGGGAGGGCACCTGGGACCCACAGGAGCACACTGCTTTTCCACTGGCTGCCGGGGTCTGGGTCTGGGGCAAGGCGAGGGGCAAGGGTGCTGCTCCATCCACAGAACGCCCTCGCCTCGAGGACCACCCACAGGGTCACCGCTGCAGTCCCACAACTCACCCACGTAACCGATGAAGTAGTGGGCGCTGTTGGGCTTCCCCCCGATCACCCCCAGGGATTGGGGCATCATGAAGCAGCGCTGCAGAGAGGGAGGAGGCTGCTGAGCACCCGCCCTGTAGACCCCACGCGGAGGACGCTGCCTGGACAGCCACAACCTGGTACGGGTCCCAGGCAGGAGCCCACGGCCCCCACCCACTGCCATAGGTGGGCCAACGGCCTGCTGAAGCCCAGCTGGTGACACAAGAAGGCAAACAAGAAGACATGGAAGGACAAGACCCACCCCACAGGCTGAGGAAACCACACCTGCAGGGTTCTGCTTCCCCAGGTGGGCCTTGGGGAGTTGGGGGTGGGGGCGCTGGGAGAACAGGCCTTGCAGAGGTGCGATGGGCATGTGTGGGTATGAGCAGGGGTGGGGGAGGCAGCACTGTCTGACGGGCTGTGAGGGGCTGTGCTGGGTGGGTGAAAAGGGGCCGAAGCTGCGTGTGGAGGTGGCCGGGACACTGAAGGGCTGTCAGAGGGCTGGAGGAGATGACAGAAGGGCTTTAGTAAAAGTAGCATTTCAATCCCACATAGGAATGACTTCAAGCATGACTTGGTCTAAAATTCACGTTAACTGAAGGAAGGAGGAGGGTTCCTCATGACACCGGAGGGGACTGTGGATGGAGCTTCCCCAGAAAGCTCAGTGACCCGTCTGTCACCCCCAAACCTGGCCTGCAACCCCCCTTCCTCGAAGGCCAACCCACCCTCCAAAGGGACAAGCTCAAGGGAAGTGTGGGAGGGCACCATGGCACAGCAGACACCTGGGGGCCCCTATCAGGTTCCTGACACCCTAATCCTCACGGCTCACACACTCAGTTACCACACCCATTAAGCAAAACCAGAAGGTTCTCCTTGTCGGACGTGGCTCAGGTCAAAGGCACCCTGTGAGCTCTGTGGACATGGTTGCTGACTCCCCAGAGAGCCGGCTGCACAAAAGTGGCTGAGAACTGGGAGGGGGGCAGGACAAGATGTGCGGGACGCACCTTCAGCGTCTCCACGTAGGCCTCGTTGATGTCCGTGAGCCCCAGGCGCAGTGGGATGAGTAGGACCAGGGGTCTCCACGGTGACAGCCTGGTGGTGACGTCAGCTCCGGCAGGGAATCCATTGCAGTGCCGGTCGGGATCTGTGGGAAAGGCGGCGGCCCCGGCACAGGGAAAGCTGGTCCTGCACAACCTTCCTAGAAGGGAAGACACGCTGTGATGGGCCAAGGGAACTGGGCAGTTCTCCCTGACGAAACAACACATTATTTTGTAACAGGAAAAGGGTATTACAAAGCCTACAGAGCCAGGTACTTAAAATGTAACTCAAACCTGCATTAAGAAAAATTTTGCACAATCCTGCCACCCACAGAGAAAAAACATTTTCTATGCACACTCAATTAAAAACTTTTATTGTGAAATAAAGCACACACACAAAATGGTGCAATGAAAATTCACGTGCACTTCCGAGGAAAGTAACGAAATGAGCACCCACGTCGCCCACCAGCCTGGCCACAGACAGCTCACGCGGGTGCCCGGAACCCCTCTGGGGCCCTTCAACAAGGCTTCAAGGAGTAGCGATGCTTCCTCCCTCCTCGCTTCCTCTGTCTGAATGCACCGGGCAGTCATTCAGTCAGCGGCAGACAGCATGGCGCACACCCCGCGCCCAACCTGGATTCTAAACACCATCCCCTGCTGCAAGGACCCAGGGCGGGCAGGGCAGGGCAGGGCTGGGTGGGAGGAGCCTGGAGCATCTCGTTAACGCAAGAAAGTGAGGAAGTGCTCAACAAACACAAAGTGACAGGAGCACCTCAAAAGACAGAGCCAGCCTGAGGGGGCCCCCAGCCAAGTGTGGGGCAATCAAGGATTGAAAATGTGACAGTGACAAAACACACCCAGGACAAAGCGCCTGTGAATCTGCTGACTCGGAGAAAGTTTCTCAAATTTAAACAAGGAGAAAGAGTGAAAAGGAGGCCCTTCTCACGAATGCCAACTGATAAACGTGGAAGGAAAGGATGAGTTAGAAAAACCTCTGTCTTCTGCCATATATGTAATGAACAATTTAGGCCAAACTCATAATGCATATTAAGTGTCACCCTCAGATCACTCATTAATTACAAGGGAAAAGAGACACCACCTTGCCTGGGGGACCCAACACAGTGTTGCTGACAATGGGATACACTAATGCCACAGGCTCCGTGGGTGCACCAAGGGACACTGTGACAGTGGGACACTAATGCCACAGGCTCCGAGGGTGCACCAAGGGACACAATGACAGTGGGACACTAATGCCATGAGCTCTGAGGGTACATCGAGGGACATGGTGACAGTGGGACACACCAATGGCCTCCGAGGGTACACCAAGGGACATAGTGACAGTGGGACACGCCAACACTACGGGCTCTGAGGGTGCACCGAGGGACACGGTGACAGTGGGACACACCAACGGCCTCCGAGGGTACACCAAGGGACACGCCAACACTACGGGCTCTGAGGGTGCACCGAGGGACACAGTGACAGTGGAACATGCCAATGGCATGGGCTCCAAGGGTGCACCGAGAGACACAGTGACAGTGGGACACGCCAATGCCACGGGGTCCGAGGGTGCATCGAGGGACACAGTGACAATGGGACACGCCAACGCCACGGGCTCCGAGGGTGCACTGAGGGACATAGTGACAGTGGGACACACCAACACCACGGACTCCGAGGGACACCGTGCTATCCAGGCTGAATCTAGGCCAATGGCTAACCCAAAGCCAGTCGAGAGGCAGCCAACAACCAGCACGTGGGACCTTCAACTGGCCTGGATTCTTCAAAAATGTCAACGCTATGAAAGACCCAGAAAGAAGAGGCAGGGCTTTCCGTATTCAAGTGGACTGGAAAGGTGTGGTAGGTGTCTACACACAACACTGGATCCTTGATCACGAAGACAGACACTACAGGCACACACCACGGCTAATTCTTTCTGCTTTTGGTAGAGACAGGATCTTGCTCTTGCACAGGCTGGTCTCAAAACTGAGCTCAAGCGATCCTCCGGCCTTGGCCTCCCAAAGTAGAGAGATTACAGGTGTGAGCCACCACTGGCCCCAGGAGGGGCTCTATTACTACCATGATCCTCCCCATCTGAGGAATACGACTGGACACGTGGATTTGCTCTAGGAATGACACAGAGCAGGACTCACTAGTCCTCCACTCCTGGCCGGGCACTAGAAACGCCCTGCTGTGATATGACAGAACAGGCTGTGTTTGTCCCCGGCACCATCTGTGACTCTCCTGTACATTAACATACTCCCTCTACATTAACATACGTCAACGTCTATTTCTCTGTCGGTTACAATTAAACAGAATGTACAGCTCTACGCCTACCTCCTGAAACCAGGCCCCTCCTCAGCACTCTGAACATTTCCTGGTAGCACCTGGTGTGGCACAAGAGGGACGCGTAGGCCAGTTCCACGGCCTTTCTTCAGAGCAGCTTGGTATGGCTCTATCATTTGGGTGCTTACACAAGTTTCTCCTTATTTTTGCAATTTGGAAATATCACCGAGAACAAGTATATTTAAGTTCTCTTGATAAAAAATTTGGGGATCTTTAGCTGCAAAGACTCAACTCTCAGCAACGCAGGGGGACTTTTTCCTTTAGCATCGATGCTGTTCTCACCTCCAGAAAAGCTGTGATTCACACTTGGTTTCCAGCTGCCTCTGCTCTGCCCGGCTGCCTCTGCTCCGACTGTCGGAGCTGCCTCAGCTAGAGACCCCTCCCCCGACTCGCCCTCCGAGTAGATTCCGCACTGGCATTTAACTTTCTTTCTGGGGTCATCTGCACCCACTGCCAGACTGATGCCTTTTCCACTCTGTATTTTCTCCCCATGCCTGGTGACGTTCCCACAATCTGCTGTGGTTAGAAGGGTCCAAGTCCTACTGCAGACAGCCTGCTGGCCTCCCACAGGGCCGATGGAGTGGATAGGTGGGTGGACGGAGGGTGGACAGTGGGCAGAGAGGCGGGCGGCACAGATGGACAGGGACGTCTGGGCAGCAAGGCCTCCCCGTGCCCGGCACACGCTGCCTAAAATTTAGCGGGATCGTCATCAGGCAGCTCTTTTGCTCGAGGAATCACCTTTTGTGGAATTTCTGAATGTCATCATTTTCTTCCTAACTGTTCCTTCCACAAGCAGTTTTGAGAAATTTGAAGCAAAAAGTCCTTGCTTGGCCAAGGAAGTGTTTCTCCAGCTTTTGCCATGCTGACTTCTCTCCCAGGCCTGCCGCCTTGGGCAACTTTTAACAGTGGGATGGAAGAGCAGCCCCTTCCTGTCTTTCCTGGAGTCCTCCCTGCCTCTCTCCTGGGGCTTCCATGGCCAGAGGCAATTGGTATGGGCCCTGCAGAATCACCTGGCAACCCCTCACCACGCCAACTGCACTCGAGGCCTGCTCGTCAGTCTCACTGTCCTGGCTGGTTGTGTTTTGATGCTATTCTTCCTAAAGGCAGGTGCCTGGCATCTGCCATTTGTTCCTGTGATGAGTATGGTCCTTGCTGACTAGGGGAGGGGAGGGTGATGCATGCAGTGAGATTGGGCTGGCCAGGCTGGGCAGCTCCCACATCCCACAGGGAGCCAGTGCTCCCTTGGAGCTGTTAAAAATGCAGACTCAGGGCAGGGCGTCTGGCTCACACCTATAATCCCAGCACTTTGGGAGGCTGAGGCAGAATAATTGTTTAAGGCCAGGAGTTGGAGACCAGCCTGGGCAACAGAGTGCAACATTGTCTCTACCAAAAATAGAAAAATTAGCTGGGCATGGTGGGGGTACCTGTAGTCCCAGCTATTCGGGAGGCTGAGAAAGGTGGATCGCTTGAGCCCAGGAGTTTGAGGTTGCTGTGAGCTAGGCTGACGCCACGGCACTCACTCTAGCCTGGGCAACAAAGCAAGACTCTGTCTCAAAAAAAAAAAAAAAAAAAAAGGCAGACCAAGGTTCATCCCCAGGACCTGACCCACCTCCTTCTCTGACAAGTCACAGTTCCATCAGTGCAGTTCCAGGTGACCCCAAGACCCCAGAAGAGACTGGATCCGGGGTCCACATGCAGTCAAGCTGCCCCCACCACAGCTCCCACCAGTGCTACATGCACCAAGTGCGGGGAGATTCTGGAAGCAGCCTGTCCCTCACCCCTTCCTGGTCATCATGCCTGGGCAGCCAGCCTCTCTAGTCTAAAGCCAGGGGTGAAGCATGATTGGCTTAGCCCACGAGAGTGGGTGAAAGATTGTGGGGTAGGTGATGTTTCCAACACCCAGGGGAGGGACAGTGGAGGGAGAAGTTAAGGTAAAGTCTAATAGTATATTGTATACCCAGATAATAAGGTGGTTATAATGTTTTCATTGCCAGAAGAAAATGTTTGCAATACTATATAAGTTTCTGAAAAACATGGAAAGAATGCTTTTCAAAGCATGGAAGAAAGTGTGTTAAGATACAATAAGAGTTATTTCTGAGTGGTAAAATTAGTGTCTTTTTTCTTTGCACTTTTCCTTAGTTTCCAATGTTTTACAAAAATTTCAAGAAATAGAATAGAGGGAGAAGGCAGAAAGAACTACACACCCCTCTTTTATGGTCCCTAGTTCATCAACTCTGGGGAACAGAATTATTAAAGGAAAATGCGCTATGGCAAAGAGTTTCAAGCTGTAGAAGTCAGTGCTGCCCTGTGTTGGAACGTCATGTCCCTGTGCCCTCTGGACACAAGCCACAACACCCCAGAAAGGCCGGGGGGTGAAGAAACGGGGTGGAGAGTGATGGGTGGAGAGACCCCATCACTCTGGCAGGGAAGTCACATGTCTGCAGCCCAGTGGGCACACATGCGGTAGCACTCCACACCCACAGCCACGTGGCAAGACCCACATCCACTGCAAACCCATGCTCTTTTAGGAAGTCTCTGAATTGCTTTCTTAAGTAAAACTGGATTCAAGGCAATAGCTTACACGTACAACGTCAATGAAATTGGGGTTGATGGGCCAGGCATGGTGGCTCACGCCTGTAATTCTAGCACTCTGGGAGGCCGAGGCGGGCAGATTGCTCGTGGTCAGGAGTTCGAAACCAGCCTGAGCAAGAGCAAGACCCCGTCTCTACTATAAATAGAAAGAAATTAATTGGCCAACTAGCATATATATGGGATCTTTAGCTGCAAAGACTCAACTCTCAGCAACGCAGGGGGACTTTTTCCTTTAGCATCGATGCTGTTCTCACCTCCAGAAAAGCTGTGATTCACACTTGGTTTCCAGCTGCCTCTGCTCTGCCCGGCTGCCTCTGCTCCGACTGTCGGAGCTGCCTCAGCTAGAGACCCCTCCCCCGACTCGCCCTCCGAGTAGATTCCGCACTGGCATTTAACTTTCTTTCTGGGGTCATCTGCACCCACTGCCAGACTGATGCCTTTTCCACTCTGTATTTTCTCCCCATGCCTGGTGACGTTCCCACAATCTGCTGTGGTTAGAAGGGTCCAAGTCCTACTGCAGACAGCCTGCTGGCCTCCCACAGGGCCGATGGAGTGGATAGGTGGGTGGACGGAGGGTGGACAGTGGGCAGAGAGGCGGGCGGCACAGATGGACAGGGACGTCTGGGCAGCAAGGCCTCCCCGTGCCCGGCACACGCTGCCTAAAATTTAGCGGGATCGTCATCAGGCAGCTCTTTTGCTCGAGGAATCACCTTTTGTGGAATTTCTGAATGTCATCATTTTCTTCCTAACTGTTCCTTCCACAAGCAGTTTTGAGAAATTTGAAGCAAAAAGTCCTTGCTTGGCCAAGGAAGTGTTTCTCCAGCTTTTGCCATGCTGACTTCTCTCCCAGGCCTGCCGCCTTGGGCAACTTTTAACAGTGGGATGGAAGAGCAGCCCCTTCCTGTCTTTCCTGGAGTCCTCCCTGCCTCTCTCCTGGGGCTTCCATGGCCAGAGGCAATTGGTATGGGCCCTGCAGAATCACCTGGCAACCCCTCACCACGCCAACTGCACTCGAGGCCTGCTCGTCAGTCTCACTGTCCTGGCTGGTTGTGTTTTGATGCTATTCTTCCTAAAGGCAGGTGCCTGGCATCTGCCATTTGTTCCTGTGATGAGTATGGTCCTTGCTGACTAGGGGAGGGGAGGGTGATGCATGCAGTGAGATTGGGCTGGCCAGGCTGGGCAGCTCCCACATCCCACAGGGAGCCAGTGTTCCCTTGGAGCTGTTAAAAATGCAGACTCAGGGCAGGGCGTCTGGCTCACACCTATAATCCCAGCACTTTGGGAGGCTGAGGCAGAATAATTGTTTAAGGCCAGGAGTTGGAGACCAGCCTGGGCAACAGAGTGCAACATTGTCTCTACCAAAAATAGAAAAATTAGCTGGGCATGGTGGGGGTACCTGAAAACACAGAACAGTTGTCGTGACAGTCTTGCGAGAGATTATCATGGTGGAAGAGCGAGACAAGAGTCGTTCTGGTGCCTGGTGATTTAGAATACTACTTGTATTTCAAATACATAACAATAAAAGATGAAAATAGGTGAGTCAGAAAACGTACTTGGAAGAGCCAGATTAGTAGGTCGGGGATCTGACCGCTGAGCTGCATTTGTGCATGCCAAGTATGAATAATGGACTATCCATGGGCCG